CCGCTGCGTTCTGTGCGGCTCGCTCTGCTAAGGCGCGCCGATGCTAGTTAAAACAATTCAGATTCTGGAAATGGCAAAATAACGGGCTGGACACAGACACACCTCACGTCGCGTGTCTAGTCTTTCCTGCTTTTCTCTGAGCTTCGCCTTCTTTATGGCCTCCTCTTTCTTTGCCACCTTCCGCTTGTGAAATCCAGTAAGAAACTCTCTAACGAGGACCATGTGTGAAGCCCTGCATTCGCGAATCTGTAGCATGCGTACCTGCGAGCATCATCATCAAATATGATTTCCTTGACCTGATTTCGTTTGTCGCGTTTTTTCGCTGCGACCGCTCTATGTGATTGTGTTAAGATGGCGATATTGGAGTTCATGGAAGATGTAAGGATAGTTGCCGGCGGTCCGGGAACTGAACGGGATATGTTTACATAATCCGGAGGAGGAGGAATACAGTACTTGGCATTTATTGACAAGCTGTTGGCATCGTATTCTTCTTTCGTCTGGAAATGGGATTATAAGATGTAGCTGCTCTCAGGCGCACATTTTTTCTGCTCCTTTCTCCCCCGCCCATCTAGAGCACTGACCTTTCACTTTTCTCATCATCCTTTCCGTCGCCGAGCCTGATCTTAATGCCTGCTCTTGCTTTCGCAGACACTTCACAGTCAGTTGATCCCGGTCAGGGTTCAGGACACGCGACAAATCGTGATCCTCTCAATTATTACATGCGCCCGCCGGCTCCAAGAGGACAGAGACCACCCAATGACCTCCACGCTCTTTACGATAACAGTAGCACAAACTTCATCCCCCCATACTCCCAGCCTGCATACTTTGAGCGTGTCTATCCGCTCGCCGGCCAGCAGATATCAGCACAAGCTCAGAATACACTCCCACCACCCTCAATGTTCAGTTATTTTGCAGTGCCCCCTCAGGGTCATGCTGGGTCGTGGCAAACACATTTATCAATGTCAATGGTCCAGCATAACTCTTATCCGCCCCCATCTTTCCCGCCCGCTCAACTCGCTCATAAAGTGTGGATACTGGACTGTAAATCTTGTGGCACATTTCTCACCAATCGCGGTATGAAGGTGAGTTAAATTTAGACCATAAAATTTTGATTCTTTTGTCATGTGAGAGACAACTGATAACCCCAAAAACTGTTTTCTAGGCTGTTTTGCTCCTCAGACCCAACGTCTCTCTTTTTTCCACCGATGCACTTCCAATAAATTGCTCCGCATACACGTCAAATCCAGACGCTCTTCGCCCACCACCCTGCCGTCCATCAACTAATGCATCTCCCCCTCGGACGTGCGAATGCCTGACTCAGACTCTCTGCTGTCATACTTGCGGTACAGCCGTCGGCTATATGATCGTGATTCCAGTAAGATTCCTGGTGTGAGAACTGTGTGAAGCTCTGATTGTGTTGACATGTTTTTACAGTGTTCTCGATGTACGTCGTCAATCACGGCGACTAATCGCGCGACCAATGGTCATCGCTTCGTCTTCCATTCTAGTGAAATCCTCGCATCGGAACGATATCATATCCCTGACGAACCAGGGGTTATCCCAATAGAATTCACAGCACCTATTTCCCCTCCTCCTTTGACGTCCGCTTATTCTGCGCTATCTTCTGTCGATGGTCCCGCTGGCTATCGGCGTATTTTACACCCATTCCCTTCCCAGCCTTCCCCCACCTTGTCCCATTCGTCTTCCGAATCAATTCCCACACCTATCTCAGAGTACGGGGACCTGGGCTCTACACCACATCTATCCTCACCCGATCCATACTTATTCGCAACATCGGCTTCTCCTCGGCGTTCCCCACGTCCTCTGCCTCGGTCTCCATCCCCTCATACATCGGCATCGCAGCCAATTCGGTCTCCGTCACAACCAAATAATCGGGAATCCACCGTCGAGTCAAGTGGAATGCCTGTTGAATCGGCTGTTCGTCGGCTGAAGGCGGGGGATGTGCTTTATTGGCACCACCTGGCAAAGAATGGCGAGATCCCAGGGGTGCATGAGGATCCGCGTGCCAGGGTACCGAAGAAGATTAATGGACCTAAATTCTCGGGCCGCTGAGAATATTTAGGTTGTCTGGACGACATTCTTCGTCTTCAGGGACGCAAGTTGTCCGGGCACTTTCGATTCACGACTCATCATGACCCTGTTGTTTACATCCATAAAGACAGACTTATAATGGTAGCTATTTCCTGATCGATATGTTTCATTATTCATTGTGCAATTACGCTGTCTCACAGAATACCACGATACCCTCATCTTGTCCCCAATGTATCTGTCAATCGCGGACTCGCGCAAATAGGTCAATCACATTGTTACATACTATTTAAACCTGATCCACTCGTTCTTTTGACACTCGCTCAGAAGGATTGTTCTACTGAGATATAGATCAGAAACAAATGAGAGTGATCGTCAGTCGACTGCAAATAGCAAAGGCACTAGACTACTGCTTCTGCAGTCACGAGCCCATTTACTGACGCTTACAGGTTCGGATCGTGTTATCAATGGAACACGGATAAATCTCGGAGCATGGATAGTCGGACTGCTATCTCATGGACTCTTCTAGCGGCCCGCTAATTCAACCTTGGCTCCACCGTTACAATACTTAAGGTTATGCGGCTAAGGAAGATCATGCGTTCCTGCACGCCTCCTTCGCTATGTCTTCTTATCTGAAAGTTTCTGGATCAAAAGTCGTCGATGGGGATGGCAGAGAGGTCGTCCTCAGGGGAGCAGGTCTCGGAGGGTGGATGAAGTGGGTTGTCATGTTTTCCGTACACATTCAAATTCACTGATCTTAATTTTTCTCCCTCTGATAGCATGGAGAATTTCATTTCTGGATACCCAGGCTGTGAATTCCAGATCCGTACTGCTCTCGCTGAGGTCGTAGGACCTATCAAATCAGAGTTTTTCTTCGACAAGGTAAATTGATCTGCAGCGGTGTGCCTGATTCTGATGGGCAATCCAAGTTCCTGGAGTACTTCTTCCAAGAGGAAGATGCCAAGTTCTTCAAGAGTCTTGGACTCAACTGCATTCGGCTACCCTTCAACTACAGGCACTTCGAAGGTACATAAGCGCCTTGAGTTTTCGTAACTTGTCGGACTTACGGAGTCGATCAGATGACATGAATCCCCGTATCCTGAAAGAAGAGGGTTTCAAGCACCTTGACCGTGTGATTGACCTCTGTGCCCAACATGGCATTTACACCATCCTCGATCTGCACGCTGCAGCAGGGGGTCAAAACACCGACTGGCACTGTGATGCTGGCACGCACATTGCAAATTTCTGGTTACATAGAGACTTCCAGGACCGTACAATCTGGCTCTGGAACGAACTTGCTAAGCACTATGCTAACAACAAGTGGATTGCCGGCTATAACCCACTTAACGAACCTACTGACCCCACGCATACCGCTGTAATCAAGTTCTACGATCAAGTCCACAACGCCATCCGCTCGGTTGACACAGAGCATATCATTTTCTTCGACGGAAACACATTTGCAAGTGACTTCTCACATTTCGGTGATGTGCACAAGAAGTGGCAGAACACCGCGTACTCGATCCATGGTATGATCCTGAATCACTGTTTCCACGCTTTCATCTTATAGGGACGGCAGACTATAGTATATACGGTTTTCCTGCTAGTCCAGAGGACTATGTCAGCTCCGACGATCAACGGCGGAGAATGAAGAAAGGCTACGAGAAGAAGAGGGAATGGATGGACCAGCACGGCCTTTGTGTCTGGAATGGCGAATGGGGCCCAGTCTATGCTAGGAAGCAATATGATGGCCTTGCTACAGACACTATCAATGAAAGACGGTACAAGGTTCTCAAAGACCAGCTGGCAATCTACAATCAGGTATATCGGCACTGAATACCGTATCTTGATCCTGGCTGATACAACATCAGGATCGTTTAAGCTGGTCGATCTGGCTATACAAGGATATCGGTTTCCAGGGCATGGTCTACGTCTCTCAGGAAACATCATACATGGTCCTACTGAAGGACTTCCTGGCGAAGAAACATCGTCTTGCTGTAGACGCTTGGGGTGCTGACACCGCTCAAGTTCAGCACATATATCAACCTCTTATCGATCATATCACAAAAGAGATATCGCACGAGAACCAGAATCTATATCCGTTCCCAGTCTGGAAACTCTCCGATCGCGTTGGTCGCCTGTCCCGCAGTATACTAGTAACCGAGTATCTGGTCAAGGAGTGGGCAGAACACTTCCGTGGAAAGAGCGAGACTGAGCTCGATGAAATTGCGAAGAGCTTCAAGTTCGAGAACTGTCTGCGCCGTGATGGACTGAACAAGATCTTGACAGACAATGCACAAACGTGGACTAGTAGTTGAATTGTAGTAATTGTACAAACAAATGCGCTCACCTGTTTCGCTCCATGAGTACGAGGCTAGCCTATGCGATAGCAATAAACAAGTCAAGCCGCGCGTCAAGCCAATCTAGTCCCAATTTTTTTCGCTCACATGTATTTAGAAGCGCGCCATAGCGCAATCGCTAACGGGTCGTACATGTTAACTTGGTGCTTACAAGGTCGCAACTGAATCCGTACAACACCAATCCCACTAGTGAGCATAGTGCAAACCAACAGTGCCATATAGCTAGCACTCAGTGGCATTCGACACGGTATAAACGCGGGTGCCATAACTGTGGACTGATAATCCAATTGTACATCAAAGCAATCAAAAATGAAAGATTCGCAGATTCAACAGTAAGAGAGATCGTCATACTTGGAGCGTCTTCGGAGTAGAAAGTCTTAAAAGCGAAGCAGAGTTAACATAAGCTATAACAATGGTATGGACCAGTGGGAGACAGCACCGACGATAGCGAAAGCGAACAAAAGGAAACAATCTAGATAACCATTCTAAATAATAATAACCTGAGGACAATGTAATGGATCGATACATAAGGACGAATACTAACTCACAAGATAGGAGATAGTAGTACCTATGGAGATCGTCGGGTCCATACAGTCAATGGTCAACGACATCTAGTCGGTTTGCCAGCCACTGCGCAACAAGGCTCTGTGAGTCACCTTGGACGTGTAGGAAGTCAAGCACATTATGACCGATGATGTTGCCACATTGTTCTGCTCGTCCAAAACCTGATAGGCAGCTCTTTCTATATTCACCTTCGGAGACATTGATGATAGACGGGATTGATGGAATGAATGGTGACTCAGTTGTGACTCTGGAGTGACCCCGCAGGAGCACAGGCAATGCGATGAGAGTTGGTAGATCGGCAGTGATCCTCTCAAGCCCCTCTAGAATTGCCTCGCTTGACTCGCCAATATTAAATAGAGGATTGTCTATGTTTTCAAGCAACGTGACCAGAGCTGTTAAATCAGAAAGCGCTTCATCGACAGCCTCACGGGCCACGCGTGTCGCATCACACCCTGCAGATGGACGTGGAAGGAGAATCATGAGCTCAAGGAGCGCACGTGCATCAGCAGCCGCTGACGGAGTGACCGAGATGTTGGGAGGAGACGATGGTCGTGAAGGAGGCAGTTTAAGAGTAAACCGTGTAGGGGGAGGAGTATTACCAGAAATGGCACGCTGCCTCTTGGTTAAAGGGATGAGCTGTGGCGAACCAAGCGGTGACGTCGGCGGCGAAGGCTTCACTCGAGGTCGATTAGCGAAAGCCACGAGCGTTCTCCAAATGATCGAGATCAAGAAAGTCGCCAAGGTCGTTTGGGAAGGAAGGGTTGTCGTGTACCGCGCCAATGCACGTGCGTACACAGGCATGAGTGCCTGTAGCGATATGATTGATGGGTGAACAGGAGCTTTGGTACCTGTCTTAGGCACAGCGACAGCGACAGGATTCTCCAGAGACTCCAGGAGAGGCACCAATTCAGACTGGATGCCCGCAATGAGCGGGTTCACAACACGTCCTATGAGGGAGACGAGGCCCTCACGAATCGCCTTCAATTTGTCTCCTCTCGCATCATTGTCTAAGCCCAAACTCATTTCATCGAAGCTTTCGAGAAGCTCTCCTGCAAAGCCAGCTGCTGCAAGTGCATGGAGCTGAGTTGTATTGGGATTGGGGGCCTGCACAGTAGGAGCAGGCAAGGAAAGGAATGCTGGCGAGGAAAGGAGGGGAAGAAGCAGTGCCGAGAGGTTGCTGAGTAGAACAGACAATGGCCTGTGAAGTGAACGAAGGATAGCCTTGTGCAAGTGGGAATTATTTTGACATGCCTTGAGCTCACTGGTTACGGCAGTTTAATCAAGGATAGTGCCACGGATGAAAATAAAATACGCACGAGGCAATTAGGAGCCCAAGAGCTCGCCCACGACCAGCAGGAATTGGACGTCTACCTCCAAGCAACTCGCCAACAAGCGCTGGACCGGTGGGCTGCATCATTGCCTTTGAGACCGCCTCACTAAGCTTAAGACTGAGGGCCTGTAGGTAAGACCCGTCTTGCACAAGTAGAGTTGGAGGGGGGGAGGGGATAGGCGTCGAAGAGGACGGTCGTTTGAAGCTACTGAAAGAGAGCTTGGTGAGAGGTCGGGATGTCCTCTCTGGGACCATGGCAGGTTCGAGACGGGAGGGTGAATTTGGTGAGGTGGGACGACTGTTGGGGCGGAAAGGATTTGGGTGCTTGAATGAGATCATTGTCGGTAGGTATTTAAAGAATAAGGTGTATCGTGAAGTGTTCTCTCGTGTCCGACCTCCGTGCTATGTACAGATATTGTTGCAGTTCCAGAGCAGGGGTCTGGTTCCAAGGATTACAATGAACCTATCCCATCAGCTGACAGGAATGAGGAAGGGAGAGATAAGTCAAAAATCTAAGCTTAAGGAGGACGGTCTGTGTCGACCAGGGAAACTGCAAGAGGTCCGAAGAGGATGATGGTGTGAGTCAGGCGTGGAGTGCTGCGAGTTATGGACATTAGACCCTCGGTAAAAAACATGCCAGAACGTGGAAGACGTACTTCAATGGTGGATAAAAAATCATAGATTGGTACGAAAGCGATTCCAAGTGATTCTTGGTCTACAACTGTAGACTAGGCAAGATTTCCTAGTCAAATTTTTCATGTTATATCGGACCACAAATATTTCCCACGGCCTCAGGCTGACCGATAACCATATGCCGACTCGCACGATGTCAAGTGTTCCGAGCAGCACGAATATTGTTCCGGCTTTGTTCCGGGTGAGTCGCTGCTGTTTGACAGATACGCCTGAAATGGCTCAATTACTTGATGATCTTGAATTCGCGACCATTTCTCACCGTAACGTCTCAACAAGTAAGCCAATAGCAATATGATCGTCTGCATGACAAACAGCAAGGCATCTTATATATCCTCCAAGAGTCTCTTGATAGTGGTTCGTAGCTCAAGATCATCGCACCGGAGACGCCACAGGCAACTTTCTTCTTCACTCTCCCGGAGACGGAGCGCAGCACCTTGTTTCGGCTCCACTAAGGGTGGGGCAGCGCCTTGTTTCGGCTCCACTAAGGGTGAGGCAACAACCAATACTTTTAGCTCCCCTACCAGACGGGCCGGAACAAATATAGATCTTAGCATGATTCCATCTTCAGACCAGTTTTGAGGGTAGACATACCTTCAAATGGTGGCTGATCAACCGCGATGACTCTCATGGAGTGCTGTAAACTCTGTAGAAGTCTCACTACGTTGTCCATTGACGACTCGCACCAGCCTCGGAGATTTGAGTTTTCCATGGCATCCCAGACGTCTTCGAAGTCTGGCTCAGGGGCAAGAAATCCCACAGGCACTTCGCTGGAGGCAGTATCGAGCGATATGAGATCAATACGGGATGCCTGATGGCATGATTACATCAGTCACCACGACGAATACTTCCAAATTACTTAGGAGACGTACTAAATCTTCATTTGGTGGTGCATCTGAATTTCGAATGTAGTCAAGCTGGTTGTTGTAGTCAGACATAAGATCATGTATGTACTCAGGAAATGCTCACTTTGGGCAGGTCTTGTAATGAACCCTGCGCGGCAGCAATAGTCAATTCTCCTGGGGTGATGGTCCTTGCAAGTTCGGATGACATCCCACGTTCACTCGCACGTGATGAACTTCGCGTCCTGCTTCCCAGACTTGAGATAATGCCTTCATTTCTACGCGGGCTTGATAGATGCCTTAGACTAGGCACGGCCTGGGGAGTACCATATGCTTCGTAACGCAACTTTCTTGGAGATAAGCTAGTTCGCGGAGGCGAGCCTGGCGAAAGTTCGGATATCTTTAAATCAATAGGCGCTGAGGCACCGGTGTTTGATCCATAGGTTGTTAGAGCAACCAAAAAATCTGGAAGCTAATCTGAAGTTGGTTCTCAATAGAGGGAAGGAATGACTGCTGCCTTACCGAAGATGAGGGTGCTTGAGCAATGATACCAGCGAGCACATTCCTTTGAGCACAGTATGTCAGAAACAAGCTACACCGCTGATGGGCAGGTCATTTAAAACTTTCATCAACACAGCGACGGAACTCACATTCCGAATACGCTTTCCGGAGAACTGAGATATTTCGGCAATCAGCTTCAAGATAGTGTGGGGAATCTGGTCACACTCTGCAGACAATCGAAGCATAGTTAGCAGACATGCATCTTGAACTGTGACTGCTGCTTCCTGAATTTTCATTCCACTAGTTTAAAGTATATCGTTCACGCACCACCATATGAGACAAGTCTGCTAGCCATTCCCTGGAGTATTGATAGAGGTGATGTTGCTATCTTTCCGCAGTATTCACAAGCCAAAGCGGAAATAACCACCATGAGAGTCGGTCCAATCCGAGCACCTGATTCTGTAACAGAAACCGCCAATGCGGTAACGCACGATATACGACACATAATATTAACTGGGGCAGTCAGCGTGAAGATTGCAACGAAATGATTGTACATACATTCCCGGATATGAGTAAGGATCATCTCAACGCCCACTTCGATGACAGACATGTCCTCCGTACGTCCTTGAGTGTCACCCTCTGCAACGGCAAAGAGCTCCTTAAGGTATCTAGCATACTGTTCCCCGTCATCGCCATACTGAAGCACACCAACGTCAAGCAAACGAGAAACATATTCGCCCTTGTCAGATAAAGTTAACCCAGCAGGAAAGTTGTGTAGCAACTGCGTGCTATACGCTTTGACAAGGGAGGCATCGACCGTTTGTAGGACCCTCAGGGTCTGAGGCGTTCTATATCAGTATCACAGCGCCACTGATCGCAAGCTGCCGGCACTCACTATCTTTCGGACAAGCCTGTCATGCGAATCAAGAAGTTTCATCACCTCTTGAACTTCCCACTCGTCTAAGGCCGCTACTGTTCCTGGCAAAGTCCCTGCCCAAAGAGTGGGGCTCAGGCAATCTAAACACGAAACAAACAGGTACTGATCGTTAGGATCCTTTGACGTCAAGAGGCGTCGAATGCAAGCCACTAGCGACAGAGACTGCTGCATTTGGCATTCTTGGATGGCCTCGGCTGATACGGACGATAATACAAGAAAAGCCTCCCGCAGTAGCACTATGGGGCACATTCAGCTAAGCTCCTGCAGTGCAACTGCTTGAGTCACCTCGCACGGGGGGACTGGAAGTGCGCTTGATAATTTCGAGAACAATACCAACGTTTGGCATTGATAGCCTACTCATTCGTCAGATGTCAGATTGAAGTTGAGCGAGTGACACGCACCTGGCCTTCCGAAGGGCTCGAAGAACCAATAAAGTAAGACATTGAGACTGACGACCGGGTCTTTGCCACACAATTGGCAGGAGAGCATTGACTTCATCATTGATGGAATCGACTTGGTTGAGCTAGATGTACAATGTCATTTCTATTTACACCCATGAAAATATACGCACTTTCATGGCTACTGCCATAGCGCAAGAGTCTATAGAAGGCAGTGTACGTTGAATGCGGAGGACCACTGCATCCTCTAGTGGTGTCAAGCGCGAAGGATCATTGTGTAGCAGCGAGTAATACGCTAGATAGGCTCTACGACGAACTGATATCCTGATTGCAGAGTCAGGATGCATCAGCGATCACAAATGTCTTGAACTGACGACTTATGCATGAATAGGGCCTGCAATTGCGATTGCACTGCGGGTATCACTTCATCATTTGGCATTTGAATTAAGACGCTGAGCGCGAGGCAAACACGCGCTGTAGACGAGCTTCCTAGATCCTTTAAAAGAAGTCAGACCAATATTTGCGTAATCACGAGTGCATTGACCTTGCGAATGGTATTGACCAGCATGAGCTGCAACTCATGATTAGGTGGCATAACTTCAGTGCAGAATACAAAGCCTATTTGTTCATTATCAAGGTAGATTCTGTATCCAAGAATGATAATCACCATACCAAGTTGCTTGTCGTGCAACGTTTGCCCCATCTCGGCCAGATTGACAGCGTGTGGCAAAGCAAACGCGAGCTCGCCAGGATGAACGTGTGTCAAATTCATGGAACAGTAAAGAAGCATGATAAGCTTCTCCCTGCATTCTTTCTGCATGTCGCGTCTACTCAAATGCATTTCAAAGATGCCGCTGCTTACGCACGAGCGATACACCTCCAACAGCGAAGAGATGTCTAATGCCATCGATTTCACTCAGGTGGATCTGGTCTGCTGCTTGCGGGGACTGCGCAGACTCCGCCTTGCGCACCAAAGAGTAGTGAGCGCGGCTTAGAGCGCCAGAGTCGATAAATGACACGTCCATCTGAGAACGGAGTAAGATGGACGCGGAGGTTAAACGTGTTCAGTGGCGCTTTCGCGACATAGGGATGAGCACGTGAACTGAGGTAAACAAAGATCAACATGGCCTCCTCCCCACAATCATCGGCAGCGACTGCACATTCATTCAATAAGATTCTCAATCAACCCAGGTCGTCAAAATCAAAACGCTCTGCTGATGTCGACGAAGGAACAAAGAAATTGCGGCGGATGATTCTGGTCGAGGGCATACCTTCAGCAGTTGTATGTTCCCAAGATTCTCGAACGAGCTATGCCAAATGATTTCGTTATAGGACCCTACTCTCCGGCCTCGGATATGGAAAATTCTACTGCACGTCGATGACGCTTCAGCATGCACATTTTTAGAATACGTTGCTCGTGGCCCTTGTGAGGTTCGAGAGAAAATAAGGAACGATACATTCAGGTATGTCACAGGCGCCTGATACCAATCGTTGTGCTAATACTTCCTGTAGGACTCTAGCAACAGACCGAGGTTTTAAGGAGCGAGTACGAGAAGATATGCTCGTCCGTCTGTTGGATGCTTTTGTGTGGCGCAGTCATGGTGAGCACCACTGCCTCAACGTGAGGTAACACAAGAGCAATTGGCCCTTGTAGATCGGCAAGAAACTCAGCAACTCGGATTTACGTATGTCCAAGGGATGAATGTACTGGCTGCGCCGTTTCTGTACACCATGCCTTCAGAACTGGAAGCTTTCTTCTGCTTCGCCAAATTCATTGAGGAGTGCTGCCCACTATATGTTCAACCCACGCTAGAAGGAGTGCACCGTGGTCTCAAGGTAGCAGTTTTGTGGTTTCTTTGACGTATTGCTAAATCTCCTACAGCTACTCGACAGATGTTTGAAGATAGTGGACCCCGAACTGTTTGCCTATTTGCGAATGAAAAACCTTTCGGCTGAGATCTATGCATTTCCATGTATGTGCTTCAGCCATAAGCATTTGATATGTCAACGATAATTACTTCGTAGCTGTTCTGACACTCTGCGCATGCACGCCACCTCTTGACCAGGTGCTCCAACTATGGGATTTCCTCCTTGCATTTGGCGTACATCTCAATGTCCTATGCGTCATTGCTCAGCTGCTTCTGATGCGAGATGAAGTCATGGTATCATCAAGGTTGCATTGATGGTTTTCTAGTTGCGCGCTCCATGCTTATCTTAATTCTAGTCCCATGCGTTTACTGCGAACATTCCCACCCCTCGATGCAGTTCCAGTCATAGGCATTGCAGTAACTCTCGTTCGCGATCTCCCTGTAGATCTGTATGACGAACTTGTTCGACACCCGTACGAAATCACTCAGATGTAGCCAACACCTTCCTGCAGCCCGTCGCATTCGAAGGTTCCTTCATCCATACCAATCCTGTAGCATATCATTTCTTGACATCCGTGTTGTATGTAAGTCCCCTGTATGTCATACTACTTATTTGATAAAGTTCTGAAACACCTGGACATCGTGAACCCGTTGTCCATTACATCTGAGGCTTGCTCTAGCCCTCGTGGTTTTTGATCATACCTTCGCGCTTTTGCAGTCGATATGAATGTCCCATCTTTGCAACACAAAGTGCATCCATTACAAAGGACAGATCTTGTCCCTATGCACCCTGGAGTCTGAGAATTCAACCTCGGCCGAGGGTGGTGAACTATACCTGGTGAACACGGGCAGTTAGATGCTCAGCTACATGTGAGCTTGAACTCTCCTTCAGCAAGATGCGAGGTTCTCGAATTCGCATGGGTTTGGGTGTGGGGGACTGTTTTGGCGAGGTATACAGTTCCTTTTGTGATTTCCAATGCGATAGACAAACTTCATTGCAAGAACAACCACGGCTACCTGCCTAAACTATGCTTACTCCGTCTCCTAGGCGCTCATCACCGACGATCATGGTCTAACACACTTATCGCAACCGCTTACTCACCCTACCTTTTTGTGTTCGCAATCCCAGCCATTTTATGATCCCATGTCACGTTTCTCACCGAGAATATGTCTGCGAAATCTATCTTTGGTCATTCTCGCTGTCTACTTGCTAATAGCTTTACACCGCAGCGTGTTAAGGCACACCTGCAGTGAAGGGAGGTGCGGAGACATGTGAATTCGAACGCGCACTGGAAACCGGATCTACCCAAATTCCCATGGTCGTATGGACCCCACGGAATACAGAGTTCTACTACACATGGAGACAGTTCTACATCTACGAGCAGTTTGATTTCTAACGTACGACAACCAATCAAGCATTAACACGAGTATCGAGTGGGATCCTCTACTAGCCGTATTTTGAGGGAAGGAAAGATGTCATGACCCTAAGTTTTTGGTTCCGTAGCTAAATCGTACGTGAATCTCGAGCGAGGAGAGGTTAGGGCATAGCTGGAGCAAATGGAGGACTGCCCTGGGCTGATGTAGTATGGCGATGTCGGGATTTGTCAGGTGCGCCAATAAACGCGAGAAAAATGAAGTGTAAAGGCCTGTTGTTCTCTTGTACTTTTCCGAACACATTAACTTTTCACTCCCACATCCCAAGAGATCATCGTCAAACGCCGCGCAGAATGCTAGTTTTGACCCTTCAAACTCGATCGTGCAAAGGCGGCTGATGCTACTGCAAAAGCAGAGACAATTTTCAATTATTTTATCCGTATTGCTGATGTCCGTCTATTTCGTTAGTCTACCCGAATGCTGTGAACTTGGCTCTAGCTTGATGACATGCAAGGAATGGCAGCTTCAGGAAGTACAGCCGATAAGTACTACTCGGATGGTAAGTATTGCATCTCAGATCTCAGCACTGGTATATCGCGACTACCCTCAAGAGGCTCCACAACCGAATATTAGCACCCTCAGCTTAAAGGCGCAGGCAAAGCTCAAGCGCTCGAAAGACTGCTATTAATATATAAGCACGAGATAATACCGGCATAACCCGTCATGCTGTGCAGCGCGCACTCAAACGTTTTGTCAGATGATTGCCAGCTAGGTGCAAACAAGAAGCGGACTCACCTATGGGACTGTGCAGCCCCCGAAGAGGCTTGCTTCCTCGGGGTTACAGCAATACGGACAGGCGCAATCCGCAACGAAATACGCTGTGTTTTCTTTAGAACAGTAAAACACAAACATATTGCCGCTGTTATAATCCGCGAGAATTCCGCACTCGTAGTGTTCTGCAAGCGCCCGTACTTAGTACGCGGTCTGAGGTCAAAACACGTATGCTGAAGGTATTCACCAGCCTTGTCGCATTCCATGCCGTTGGGGGAGTCTCGTCGTGCTGTAATTGTGCCCGACAGTACTGACATTGCAGCAGACATCATGATAATGGTGAGTGAGATGAACTTCATGATTGTTGCCTTGTGTTCGAAGGAGACGATTAGATGATGTTCTCTATGAACTGTGATCACTTCACTTTTATACACAGACAGCGGGCAACTTCTTCATAGGTTCCACAGAATTCCTGTATCAGCCAATCCTCAGCCTCATTCCTTAGCCTAGATTCGATAACAAAAGTGATTGTCAACCCGGAATGTCGCAAATTCCTAACAATTGTGGTGGCAATTAGCAACTGTCACCATGCGTGAAAATCCATCTTAGCAATGGGCTGTTTGGCTGGCAGTTGCAATCACCTGTGGTTCCCACGTCACCCTTGTAATTAGAGGTGGATGTTGGTTGCCTGGGCGCCTCTAAGTACAGGTAGATACAGCAATGTAGCACTTGGATGGATAATTGCTGGATATTTAACGTGGGTACTTAGCAAAAATCAACAGTAGTCGGTCCTAATTAGTCACTAGGAACCTCGGCAACATCCCAGCACACTATTAATATACTTCCCGCCGGCAATGTGGTGTTCCTGGCCCCAACGACGTTCGGCAAGGCCCGTAAACCTTCGTCCTCGCTGTCTACTACAGCGAGCTCGCATTTGAGCCGTTTCCTTCACTGTTTAGCACCAGATTTTTTTGCACATAATCATGGTAAGCATACTATACATAATTCTATTAAAATATATGTCATATTTGTCTTGGAACCCCTCCTAAGGATATGCTCTCCCTCCCCTCCTAAATATGCCGGAGTACAAATGAATCAGTCAGCAGAGACCCACAGAACATCATGTAGGGCTTGTGCAGCTGCTTCAACTGTTTCAGAATCTTCTTCCTCCTCCTCCAGTTCATCCTGAGTCTCTAGGATATCTGTATGAGATGAAATAGTGAGTGTTTGAGTGGTGGCACCTTGCATGCGGATGTGTGCTGGAATAACAATCTGTGCTGTGCTGGCGCTATCCCCAGGAGAAGATTTGGAGCTTTCTCCTGGGATGACACAACTGCTGAATCCAGGGAGTTTGGTGATTTGTGCCAGGTGCTGCAAAGGTGCCCATTGGCTCTACCACATATCAAGTGTCGAATTCCAATCTGGTAAGCAAGTGCAGGTTCTGAGGGTTATCAAGATATGACCTTCATATACATACTTCATCTTTTCTTTTACATACACAATCACTCTTTCTACCATGCGTCATACACGATCCCCATTGATTCTCCGTCTCAACCAGTGTATTAATTCCTCTCCTCGCCAAATAATCTCCCTCAGTCTTTCAACCCAAGACTGAGGTGAGCTCTCTCGTTTATGTCTTCTACACTATCCGTTACTAACTACTACTCTACTTAGTCCGTTCCATCCCTAGGTATGATCCATAGTTAATGCTAAGTCTTTCAACCCAAGACTGAGTCCGTTCTGTCCCTAGCTTCCTAGTCCGAGCCTCGTCACCTTTGATAGGTTATGAGCCCTGGCTCAGACTAGGACCTTCATTCGTTTTTCAGCTCCACTCATTTAGCATCTGAACCCTCCGTTTTATTCCGAACTGGAACGAGCTTGGCCCGCATCACTGCTAGACCTGCAGATTCTTTCTGTTCCTTTGCCTCCGTCACCACCGTTCACACCCACACTATCGTCTCGCTCGATATTCAGGATACCAAACCCTTCTGCTTCACTGTCGCCATCCCCAACACACCTCTCATTACCACCTAAGATGTCTACATCCAACATTTGAATTCCTTCTTTGTTCCCTCATTCTCCATTGGACGCAAATGGTTCTAATTACTCATCATGGGTCACTTCTATGGACCTCTGGCTCTCGTTGTTCAACCTTTGGCGCCTTCTCATCAGTGACGAAAAGGAGCCGCAGCCCCCAGTCAAACTTGCAAATGAGACCGATGCATCTTTTCAGCAACGTGTTACTGCTCATGACGCAAGTGTGGATGTCATCGCTTTCCGTGAGCGACAGAGCATCATGAAGGGTCTCCTAGGCATGGCCGTTCATTCCAGCAATTTAATTCACTTTACAGGCATCTCAGACCCTGCTCTTGTATAGAAGGCACTCGAGAACAAGTACCAGGCTACCATTGGTATTTGTTTTACTCGTCTTATGGGTCGTGTCTTCAACCTTCCGAAGGCATCGGACAGCGACTCACTCACATGGTCAATCAAGGAGATCAGCGACATTAAGGCACAGTTCAAAGCAATTGAATTGACAGAATGGAAGTGTAATGAGTATACACTAGTACAAGCACTACTTCATGCATTACCAGACTTCTATGCCCCGCTCTCGCAGCTCATCCTCCATAGCGCTGATGCAAATGCTGGAAAACTGATGCTCGAAGGTGTTGTTAATCAGATTTGAAACTCTGAACAATACTACACGAGTTTTGGGTCAGACAACCCACACGCACACCATTCAGCTATGGCAGCTAGAGTAGCCAAACCAGTGAAGTCTGCTGAACATCCAAAACCAAAGGAACTTGATGCAACCAAAGGAGACAAGTGGGAGCTCTCATGGCGCTTGACATGTGGATCCTGCAAGCGCACAGGTCACATCTGGCACAACTGCTGCACTCGCCTAGCAAAATTGGACTCGCCCAATACATCAGCATATATTCCTTCATCACCCTCACAGGACACTAACATATCAGCTTCCACATCAGGACCACCTGACAACATTCCGTCCTTCCTTTGTCTTCCTGCGCACTCTGCCAGTCTTTCTAATATGAACACTATCTCTTTTTCATTCCACGTAGACTCTACCGCCACCACACATATGGAATCCAACCACTCCCTCTTCACTTGTTACAGAACCTATAACCCTCCCTTAATTGTGAAACTTGCAAATGATGATACCGTTCTTGCCCCAGGTTGGGGATTCATCATGCTAGCACTCGATGTAAGACATGAGTCCATTGAACTTCCTTTCCTCCATGTATCTGACTTACGGTGTACACTGATATCTGTATCTGCTCTAGCGTCAGAGGGCATTTTCTTCGAAACAGATGCTGAAGGAGGACAAATGCATCGTGCTGATAGAACTATAATTGCATGTGTGGATTGCTCCGCTGGTCTATACTATCTTTGGGCCAGGCACACCCATACAGCTTTTGCCATCAGGTCCACTTTGACCACGTCTTTACCACTTGCTGTATGGCATGCGCGCATGGGCCATGCCGCAAACTCCACCTTATGCAAGGCTGAGAAGGTTGTAATGGGACTATCTCTTGATCTTTTAGAGAAGTCCGCAGGACCTGGTGACCATATTGGTTGTCCGTCATGCCTAATGGGCAAGCAGAAACAATTGCCATTCTCATCTCAAGCCCAACACCATGTGACACACATTGCGGAGCTTATTCACACTAATGTCTGGGGACCTGTCAACGTTGCAACACTATCTGGCAAAACATTTTTCATTGCTTTCACAGATGATTTTTCACGTTATTTGACTGTCTACCTCATTAAGCACAAGAGTGAGGTATATTCTCATCTTCAGCGATATATTGCCTGGATTGAGAACCAGTCAGGACAGCAAGTCAAACATCTTTGTAGCGACAATGGCGGCGAATATGTCTCTCACGTGATCATTGAGTTTCTGCACAGTAAGGGAATTGAACATGAACTTACGATGCCATGCACAGCTGAACAGAATGGTGTTGTGGAATGCAGACACCAGACAATTGCCACTTGAGCATTGGGTGCTCACCACCAAAGCGGCTATCCTTGTTCATTCTGGGGTCACACTATCCTCAACTCAGCTTACATCAAAAATTTCCTTCCATCATCAGAGCCCCTTCAGTGGCTTCTCACCCTATACTATAGGACAGCCCAGGTTGACAATGCCCCCTATGTGTAGGGCCAACCCACTATGGGCCCACTTTAGAATGTCACCCAAGTCCATCGGTGGGCCCATAGATGTGTTGTACCCACCAGTTAGGGCTGGGCCCATATTAGATTAGCCTCTATCTTTAGGACTGGGGCCTATGGGTGTAAGAATTAATAGTTGACTGTATTGAAGCGTGGGCCCACAGTGCAAATTGATAAAGAAGTGGGTGGCCTCACCTGTATGGGGTGGGGCCCATGGTTGGATCAGTGAGTGGATGCTAGGAAATAAATACCAAAAATGGGTTGGAGGACAGGACATTTTCTTCCGGCAAGTATCTACAAGGATGTGGGCTGGATGGGTGAATATTAGCAATGAGTACCGGCGACATTTATCAGCATTGGCAGTTGTATCCTGAACAAATAGGTTTGGCAAATGATCAGGAATCCACTGGTTGTGGTACATTGACATTGGGCATTGTATCCTGCCAAATATGCTTGCCTGATGGTATTCCCCTGGTATTTATAGGGAGAATTCACCGCCTATGCTCACATTAATACAACATAGCCTTCCGCAAATGTAATGCCAATAGCATACCCTTCAGCAAATGTACTGCCAGTCAGCCGGACAGATTTTAGTGTACATTCTACTCAATTTTGCCGCCATCACACGACATCTTGTTCCCTGCCTGCATTGTTTTCTGAATGCCAAAGCAGGATGGTAATTAACCATGCCATACAATATGAATGCCACAATAGTGCTTACCATACATGGTGGTGCATACCGGCGCAGGATGACAATCACGTGCATTTCCCGCCGAAGTGGTGGTCATCTGAACATCGCTGCAGAATGCTATACAACCTTGGCACTAATGCTGAAATGCTACTGCAACACCCAGTGGGGCAAATGATGTATTGAGTAAATGTCTTACAATGAACTTGAATAAACAACATGGTATCGGCCAACTACAAGGTGACTATTTATTTTTACAACTACATATCCTACAAATACAGTAATTAGTCCATACCAAAACAGAAAAATTTAGTCCATGCTACCAACAATCATTCATGTCCAGCGCCAGCATCTTGTGGTGGTGCCTCACTGTGGAAATCTACATTTGCCAGCACCTCATCCATGGCAATGGCAACGCTGGCACTGATCCTCCGGCTGGGGTGGCAGCAGCCGGCGCCTCTGCAGCATCTGTCCTGATGACAACAGGCAGAGGCTCTGCTGCTGGGACTCAGCAGGATTCACCTCCTGCTGGAGTGCAGCCACCTGGTCGGCAGCAGCTTGGCATTGACCTCCTGCTCAGCCAGGCAATGGTTGGCCACCTCAAGCAGCTTCTCGCCGGTACTCACCCTTTCCACCAAAGAGACCACCATTGTTTGCAACACCGCCAGTTCCTCTTTGAGCGCCAGCACAGTCTAGCTGTCTGGCGCAGGAACATGTGCTGGCAGTGGTGGAAGGGGCGGCGGTGGTGGTGGGCTCGGTGGTGGCAGGCGGCAACATTGCCTGAGGTACCAGCTTCATCTATACAAGTCAGTTGATTCACAAAAGATGAAAAAGAACTTACCATCAGTGACAACGATGACATTCACTGTGGATGCCCTGCGGCATGACTTAGACCTCACAGCAGGTCTCCTGCTCTTTGTTGGAGCGATGGATCCCTTGCTGCCACACTTGTTCTTGGTGCGGTGGCAGCGGGCACACACCACCAGTGGGCCATGGTTAGTGTTGTAGCCTTGGCGGCAGATCAGCGCCCGCTGAACACAGCCGCCACAACCAGGTGACCAGACCGGCGAGGTGGAGTCGGCATTGACATCCTCTTGAAGTCCGCTGGCTGGACTGGTAGCCTTGCCACTGCCCTTTGCGGCAGGCTGTACAAAATCAGATGGTGAAGAATAACAATTGTTTTTGACTCACCGGGATCTGGACATATGGCGTCCCCATCTTTGGTGCCAGAGCCGCACTCATGGGCTCCTCCAGTTCATCTACCTCCAGGTAGCTTTCACCTTTTTAGAGACAGGGTTGGAAACACATTCCCTTGTCTTCTTGAGGACACCTTTGATCGGCTGATGAAAGCTTCAGAAAAGCTCAAGAGAAAAGAAACAACTCACCTTTGCTGGTGCTGGTGCTGGCTGTGGTGCCGCCCCTGCCACATTGTCCAACTCCATGTCATCATCACTACTGATGATGGCCTTGGATTTGGATTTAGCGCATTGGTGCTTGGGTTTGGGAGCGGCGCTTGAGCTCCTTGCACTCATGGTGCATCGAGGACGCTTGCCACGCTCCAGTTGGCGGCCACGGTGTAAAGAGTAGATCTGGGCTTGGCTCTACTGAATGTGAGTCCCTAGTCCTGAGAGGTGCGAGTATGCTTTGTCCCAAGAGACAACCTAAGAACTACCTTGATAATGCAAGGGAAGTCTTATACAGTTAGAGAGTAGACAAGATATTGGAAGAAAACCTCTTTAAAGTTCGTCTATAGTTCCGAGACTACTTCCGAAGTACCGAGAAACTTGTCCGATGCGACTGAAGGTTGTCCGAAGCTGCAAAAGTGTTGTCCGAAGTAGCGCGATGCCTTCCGAGGCTTGCGAAGGCTGTCCGAAGGTCAATATATGTCGGTGTGTCAAATAACAGTATAAGACTTTGCAAAATGTCCAAAGTCCGGAGTGATGCTAATCTATCAGAACTCAAGAATAAACAAAGTGCAAAATTGGCAGCGGTCTAGCCAAACAATCGTTCCAAATGAACAAGGATCAATTGCGCAGTTTACAATTATACCGAGGTGACTCTACTAATTACTATTTGAAGTACGGGAAGTGAAGTGTCAGTATCAGTAGCCAGCGAGCGAGATTATATCCTACTTCCTGTGAGAGACCAGAATCCATAGGCGAAACTAGCAGCGAGATAAGCAAGTCCGAACCTATGTAATAAGCTACGATGTGTACTGCTTATATGTATTCCGAGGCTCCCGACAGGATGCCGATGGAATTTTATCTGCGTAGCACTAAGACATAGTCAACATATAGTTAGAATAAGGGAAAATGCACCAGCGAAGTCAAAAGGACGAGGATAGGACATGGTATGGTAACTTGCGAGGTTCGGATGGGCCTCGGAACATGAGAACTGCCTGTGGAAGGTTCGGACAAGTGCGTGTGGCCTTCAGAAGGTCAAGGGAGGTCGGGGAATGGTATGAACGTAGGTGTTGGATTGCCTGGTTCCGAGCCCAGCACCGCGACCATCGTTACGACGGTCTTCTCCAGGTTCATCGTCAGGAACCGCTCTCTGCTTACCTTTGGCCTTGGCAGAAGGACCTGCAGCAGGTGCAGTGGGAGGCACTGTTTGACCATACCCAATGGTCAATGGGTAGAGCGGGCTGTTCTTGCTGCGGGGATCCTCTGGACGGATGTTGGTCCAGACCGGGGTACTCACCACATTGCAGAAGGAGTTGTCCAAGTGTTGCTGTAGCTCTGCTGCCGCAGAGAGGACCATGGGTGGCACAGAGCTGGTTTACAGGGCATAGACCGTGAATACATGAGTCTATATTAATGATGGAAACTCAATGGGTGATGTAAAAATAAGAACAAAAAAGACTTACCAGAGCCCATGCCATCTCCACCGCAATGGGGATGTGCTTGGGGTCAGCAGCATCCAACTGCAGTGCTTGGCCAAGCAGGTGCTCGACCTTGTCGCCTGCCTGGCGGAAGGCGGCATTGGCGGTAGCGGTAACGGCATCTAGTTCAGATGACATTCTCGAAAAAAAGTTGTGAAGTATGATGATGAGTGGCGAGGAAGTGATTGGATTAAGTACAAGTGTGACATGGATGTTTGAACCTGTGAATGTTGCTTATGTCATCGACATTTCCTAATTTATCACATTGTTCAATAGACCACTGGGTCCATCCACCGGAGCTGTCAGTGACATAATGGCTGCCTTTGTTATACCGAGATTCATTAGTGGTTCACCCACATATTACAGTGACATATTTCTGTATTATACGGGTCACCCGACCTACATAATATTCCGTATAAGACGGGCCAGCGGATGATGGGCTGATGTGATGTATATCCTCAATGTTGACGGATGGGCTGGGAGAGATATTATTTCCGATGGAGGTGGGTGGGCCCATGTGTGGAATATGTAGAGTAGATGAGTGGGCCGATGGACATGAATATTCTATAGACGGATGGGCCGAGGTAGTTGGATATTATGTAGATGGGTGTACCAAGGTAGGTGGGTATCAGATAGACGGGTATGCCGAGGGTACTTGTCATCACATACACGAGTGGGCCCAGATATATACCATATTAGACGGGTGGGCCGGCCGAGGGTATATTTGTCACATACGGGTGGGCCCAGATATATATTATCTTAGATGGGTGGGCCGAGTGTCAAGGAGGTGGGTATCAGATAGATGGGTGGGCCGCCAAGGGTACTGTTATCACATACACGGTGGGCCCAGGGATATATTATATTAGATGGTGGGCCGAGGGCGGTATATAATATAGACAGGTGGGCACAGGTGAATGATAATTGTAAAACAATGCAGTACCGATTGCTGAGTAGCTAATTCGGGTGAAGCGTAATGAGTTCCTGCAGCTGCATGTTCATTACTGTTGCATTGCTGTATGAGAAGCAAGGTTCTGACTACCGAAATTCGAGTGAAGCATACCGAGTTCCGAGACCCGGGTGTCAATAAAAATATCTGATATCCAGCACACTTCCAATGATCGGGTATTTCATTGAGCAACGGGTGGTAATATATCTTCGACAGCCAACATCATGGAAGGTTCTCTTATCAGAACCTCATGTTCACCACCTACCGAACACCAAATGCCAAGTTCCGACTATCCAAAATTTGAGTGTAAGCATGCCGAGATCCGAGCCCCGGGAGTCGACAAACGAATATCTGATATCCAGCACACTTCCAATGATCTGGTATTTCGGCTCCCTTATCTGATCCTGACTATCTCCACCCCCTTTAACACCAACCTCTGGGCGTCCAGCATTCAGCTTCTGATTTCCCAAGATCGACTTCATCATGAATGGTTCTTCCACTTCTGCAATTGAAATAAGCCTCTGGCGCACTTGGGCCCTGACAGTCACTCACGAGGCATGTGAATATACTGCACAGAAATTCAATGCAGAGAAGACAGGAGGAGACCCGGTGATACCTTCTCCTAACCTAGACACTGATCTAGTGATGGCCTGCGATTGATTGGTAGATCGCCTCATAAAGGCATATAAAAATCCAAGTGGGTCTTCCTGCAGATTTGGAAAATTCATTTGATCATTCAAATTCCTTCATCACAGTTCAGATGAACATCGACATTGGAAGATATAGCAAATTGATCTCCCCAAAGAACACCAGGGCACAATGAGGAGAAAGAGGAGAAGTTGCTTAAGAGATGTCCTCCCGGCCATGAGGGTACAAGGTTTGTGGACATACCTGCCACCATTCTAGATGTGTCCGGCACCATCATTGCATAGTACCTCCCAGACGCCCTGACAGCCGAAACACAGGTGTGTGATATAGATTGTTACTCAATATATATTAAATACCCCATGGTAACCACAGAAGGAAATTTGGGCAGCCACCAACTTGCTGTCTCTGAGTCTGGAAAGAAGTGTGAATGTTGATGGGAATTGGCAAACCAATCCGGAGTGGTTCAAACACCGCTCGGAAGATGTTGGCCTACCTGCCGGGTGCATTAATTTATCTCCGGCATGGTTTCAACAGGGGCACGAGGTAGGATTTGATAGGATGATGATTTCGGTAGTTGAGCACACCAATCCCATAGAATCTAGCAGACCCGGAGGTATCTGCATCATTAAAGGGACCATTGTCCGAGGGAATCCTAAACGCCATTGCAAGGCCGGCAGCCATCGCATCAGTGGTGCTCAGGATCATGCATCTGGAGCAGTACTGGGCAGGGTTACGAACATTTTCAAGCCTCGGAGAAAAGGCAGAAAGCAAGGAACTGCCAAGAATGTCCGAGATCCTCCAGTACTGGGCATCCGTGTTTAACACACTATCCATCATTTCCAATCGTCAAACCCCATATCATCGAGACCATTTATCAATTCCTGAATGCTTCAATATTCTCACCACCATGGGGAATTATTCTAATGCTCGGATGAGCATGCCAAGCCTTCAGCTGGAGTTCGGGTACGATCCCGGGTGTATGATTGGATTTTCCGGAAGGATTGTCAGACATGGGGTTCATGAGGTGGAGGGGGATAGGGTTGGGTGGGCATGGTATATGAGGGACTCTGTTCATATTTATGCCGGGGTTCCCTCATGCGGATGGGCTAGGGTGGATTGACGAACCCTACCACCATGTGGAAGATGAAACAAGTAGAAAGTGTAATTACCCGCATCAGTACCTGCTTTCGACTACCAAGTACAAACCGTCTCTCTTGATGACACTCGAGGTCCGAAATCCATAGCAGATGCATACAATGACTGTCCAGAGCCTTCCGTGTCTCTTGATGAGATTCGAGGTCCGAAAGCCATAGCAGATGCATACAATAACTGTCCAGAGCCTTCTGTGTCTCTTGATGACACTCAAGGTCCGATATTCATAGCGGATGCATACAATAGCTGTCCAGAGCCTTCCATGTCTCTTGATGACACTCGAGGTCCGAAGTCCATAGCGGATGCATACAATAACTGTCCAGAGCCTTCCATGTCTCTTGATGACACTCGAGCACCAACACATTCAGCGCGAGGGAGTGGGGTTTCACTTGTGGTGTGCAGTTAGAAAAGGCCAGCCCTGGGTTGGAGTAGTGCAGATGATATCATCGACCTTACATTAGGCAATGCTAAGAAGAATGGTCTGTTGCAAAAGGAACCTACAAGTCAAAAGGGCACAGAGAAGCAAAGAAATGTAAGTATGAATGCTGCTGTACAAATTTGAAAATGGTACTGGGGCGATGGCTATCATTGTATTTAGACTCAGATCCTATCGACAGTCATCAAGGCCAGGAGCTCGGTAACCGGGTCTCGGCACTCGGGTCTTGATATTTGGACCTCGGTAGTTAAATGCCAGGAGTTGGGAATCGGTAATGGAGATCCAGAACTCGAAGTTTGATATTTGGCAGTCAACATTTGGCACTTGACGCTGGGACCTCGGAACTCGGTACTCAACACTCAGACCTCGGAACTCGATATTCGGAGCTCGGTAATCGGGTCTTGGCACTCGGGTGTCGACACTCGGACCTCGGTAGTTATGTTCCGGGAGTCGGGAAGCGGTAATGGAGAATCCGGAACTCGGAGTTCAATATTCAGCAGTAAACATTCGGTACTCGATGCTTGGTACCCGACATTTCAGAACTTGGTCATCGGAACTCGATATCCGGCACTTGGTAATCGGGACTCGATATCCGGAACTCAGAGTTCAATATTCAGAACTCGACACTCGATATTCGGCATTTGGTAATCGGGTCTCGGCACTTGGGTCTCGATATTCGGACCTCGGTAGGTAACTTTCGGGAGTCGGGAATCGGTAATGGAAAATCCAGAACTCGGAGTTCGATATTCGGAGCTTGGAACCCGGTATTCAGTGTTCGGTAATTGGGCCTCGGCACTTGGGTCTCGATGTTCGGACCTCGAGTTCGATATTCGGAGCTCGGAACCCGATATTCGGAGCTCAGTAATCGGGTCTCGGCACTCGGGTGTCGATACTCGGACCTCGGTAGTTACGTTCTGGGAGTCGGGAATCGGTAATGGAGATCCGGAACTCGGAGTTTGATATTCGGCAGTAAACATTTGGTACTCAACACTCGGTACCCAACGTTTCGGAACTCGGTAATCGGGACTCGATATCTGGCACTCAGTAATCGATATTTGGAACTCGGCACTCAGGTCTCGATATTCGGACCTCGGTAGTTAAATTCTGGGAGTCAGAAATTGGTCCTGGTAATCAGGACTCGATATCTGGACCTCGGTGGTCAGGACATGGTGATGCACATCTGCACCGTTTATTTCGGGACTTGCCATATAACATCATGTTAGATATTGCAATGCTTACAAGCAATTTTCAGTACTCATAAAACACATATGTGACTTGCACTTCAACATTTCCAACTGAGTGACTAGAGCTACTCTCCTCTGCCTCTCTTCAATCTGTCCAGCATGGTAGTGTAGATTTGTATCTCTGCCATCTTGTCACGGATGCCCTCACGTTGCTCCTCAATTAATGTCAGGAGGTGTTCTCTAATCCACCTAAGTCCCATCAGTGATGGAACTGAGGTATGATCCACCTGCTCCGGAATTGTCAGACCGTCATTCTCAATGCCATCCTAGAGCAGATCAGTCATGAATCAAGGAAATGGAATAAGAATCTTACTAGCCAATGCTGGTAGTGAAAGATACAGCAAGTCATCACCTGATCCCATTGCCATGGTTTGTTCAAGATTGCAGTTTCTCCCATCCACCATGGGGTATCATAGCCAGATACGATCCGGGATGGATCTCCGGGATCTGCGACGTCATGAAACACACAGAGGTGATATGAAAAGATGTGATCCGGAACCGTGTTCCAGGTGTGACCGGGAATCAAATGAAGAATATGAGCGATAGGGCTGGGAACAACCGAAATGATGTTCCTGGCAGCTGAGTACTGGAGGATGGGAGTGACAAAAGTCTGTGGAAGATGTCAGCATTAACCGCCGGTGTCGTTGGGGTCTTACAGTGATCTCCCATTGCAGCCTGGCTTTGAAGTGCCTGATCCGAGCCAAAGGGGGAAGATTGTTGTTTGCAGCCTCCGCCTGATATTGGGAGATGGATGTGCGATGCAGACATCAACATAGTAGCTGAAATGTCTGCAGGAGTGAGAGTGAGGGGCCGGTACTCATTGAGGGAATTCTCATTGTCAGAAGTGGATGCAGGAGAAGGATATAATTCAGGCATGGCTGATGCAGGAGTATCACACTGGCAATGACAATGACAGTTGGTTCAGATGTGAAGATATCATCCACTGATGGATGGATAAATTTTTCAAACTCCGACATGGGCTGACCCGGCCAATTCCCAGGACTAAATTTGTATATTGAAATGGTTGTTATATTCCATCGGCAATAAACCATTCATTCATCTCGGGAATCTATCAAAACGGTCTGCAGGTGTTGAAACGCTGCCTGGGCATCCTGTGCCAGCAATGAATACATTCGGGATTGCCTTCTGGAGTAGCATGCATGACCCGGAAGTCGTTTCGTGAATGATTCCTGCATCTGGTCGCCCCATTGGGCTGCTTTCTACAAGAAAAAGTTACATGTCCAATCCATCTCGAATTGGACCAACATCAGCTCTTCCTTCCATCGATCCCGTAGTGCCTTTGCCTGGAGCCAGTGAACTCGGTAAACTTCATATTCGTCCGGTCAGCTCAACGTTGGAAGTGTCGAGCATTAGGGAACTCACATTCCTCATTCCATGATTGATCCAGACCATGCATGTCGACCTCGATGGACCAGAACCACGCGAGGGATTCATTGCGTTGACCATGGGCATTCAGGATCACCCATGGCAGTGCTGACTTTGAGCTGCTCGCAAAGCAGGGGTTTGTACTTCTGAAGTTGGCCATGCCCCTTGTCAAGTTTCATCATTTGTGTCCTGGTCTTGGTATATATACTCGCATGCAGGGAGACAGCCTGCTGCACTGACGTCACCTGCGACCAGGCTCGAGTTTTCAGGGCTTGAGATTTGGCTTGCCTGACTGTCATTCAGAATAGGACTGCCTTGTTGCACAAGTGAATGCGGAGGTTGTGAAGTGCATCATTTGCCTGCCCTTCGTGAAGGGACATCTCCAGCGGAATGAGATCCTCTGCCATCAAGCGTCTGTATCGATCTACCCCGAGGTTTGATGGCAATGGGATCACAATGAGCTCGGGCGAGTTCTTCCATGTATCAGATGTCTCGGTAAAATCTTCTGGGTCATTATCGAGATTATCTAGGATGTCTATGGTCAAGTCATCATGATTGTCATCTCCATCGAATCCCTCTCCGAGATGCGTGACAGCAGAATGCGTGAATCCATCTATCTGGCCTTGGAGACAATCTCGTTGCCAGGCGAGGTCTAATCTCTGTGTCTCCATAGTTTGTTTTCCGATTCTTCGGACCTCAATGAGCAATGCAATTTGAGCCTCCTCGATTGCCAACCCCATAGATATCCATGTCGCCACAGATCTCCGAGATGGTGCTGCATTACGGGCATTACCCTGCTCTAGCAGTCTAAGTTCGATCTCCTTTTTGCTCAGTGCTGAGTGTGAAATTAATTTGGACTTCTATGGAGACATGGTCAGCTTACCCTTCTTGATATTTATCTCGTAAACATCCATCGCCGCAGGATCATTTATTCTGCTGGATTGAGCGATCATCTCGTTGGCCAACCATTCTGTCTTCAAATTGGCGGGTGCTGCTTCATCGAGTCTGTCGAAAGCCTTTTCACTTTCGGTGATGCAATTTTTTGCCTGCTTGTATTTATGGCAAAGGGTCCTTTTTATGCGGATCATCTTGCAGAAGTTGGAATCGTTCATCTGAAAATTGAGACATTCCTGTTGATGAGGGGACAACATTCCTCGAGCAGTGGGGGAAATTAGGTTGAGACATGCCCAGAGAGTCTCCATGATCTCTCCATCTATCCAGCCAATGCCTTCAATGAAATTCAACGCATATCGGACATAGCAGTTGTCTTGATGTCCATGCACATGCCACAAACCGATGCCGGGAATGATGGTCAATTCCGGTACCATTTCAAGAAATCAGCTTCAATCCACCCAAACCCGAAGGTGCTTGTTGTATTGACAGTTGATGTCATAAAAGGTGACAGCCCTGGTAATGCCTTCCATGTTGTGCTGGGCAGCCTTGCAAAGGGCGTAATCCATGTTCATCTGTCTGCAAATGATGCATGATCAACTTGTGAATGTAGAACTTCATATTCGGCTTGCCTTTCGCCTTTCTGGAAATCGACCATTGCATGAGGCACAAAGCAGCCGTGGCGGGCACAAGCAACTCCCCCAATACCCATCGACTCCAGCTTGTGCCAAGCCGCATTTGCTTGATTTACTGCCCGGTGATTGTTGCAGCTAGATTTTTCCAAAGTGTCAGCAGCCTCCACAAGATGCGCTTTATACCTGTCCTTTCCCACCATGAACCCCAGCCCATCTGCAAGCCATACTTCATCAAATGGCTTGATGGGATGCAAGTGTTCAGCTTTGAAATTACCGTCCATCACAAATGACTGGGTATATTTCCAGCTTGGAGTTCTTATCATCACTTAGGTCGCTCAAGTATGAAACTAGACTCACTCATCAAGTGTTTCATTCCCTGACAAGGATATGTTGATCCCAGGCTGAGGACATGTCGGGCAAAACAATGCGAGATCTCCAGCATTCGGGGCGTTGGAACGATGACCGAAGCCATGCCATTTCATGGTCTTCAACTGCCTCCACTGTCGAGCGACTCTCATGAGCTCTCTGTATTGGTCCTTGCCAAGTGCCTTGTCAATATAATGTCCTTTAGATGAAGGAGATATATAATTACCAGAACAAGGTGAGGAAACATGCTGGAGGTCATTCGCCAGAGCTTGCTGTAATAGTTCATCGCAGAGGTGCCGCATTCTAGGTTGTCCAATAGAAAATTGTCGAGCACTCTGAAGGTGAACACAGTCTTTGGTTTGTTGAATGATGCAGGGAAAAATCCATGTCGAAACATTTGAATGTCCGGACTCATGGCATTTGGACAATTGCAGCATCGAACCTTGAGGCGATGAACTCCAGACTTGTCGACAATGACCATGGTGTTTTCCTTAGGCTGGAACTCTGGTCCCGACACAGATGGTAGATCTTCAGGCTCAAGCTGGTCCTCAGGTTCATCTCCTTCAAACAAATCCCACCTATTTGCGAGTGCAGGACATTCTTTGCCATCATGACCGAGGTGTATGATGAGTCTGACATGAGCGAGACAACTTTGCTGGAAGAACTGACCATTCCATTGACTGATCCAGTGGAAAGGATTGCGACGATGTTGACTCCTGCAACATCCCGTGCAATAGAGTGGCTCCCCAAGACAATCTTGACATTTGTAGACCCCATCCTGATCACAGACAACGCATCTCCTATCTTCTGGAGGAGCTTCTCGATCCAGAAGGTGATGCAGATATGATTCCTGCCTTGGGAGCCATTGCCTCAGGTAGTCATTCTGGCTCTGCATGTGTTATACTTAGCAATGTTTGAACGACACTCCAATGGTTTACATTCACTTGCCATTGTTTTTGGAAGCTGCAAAGGCTCGAATGAGCCTTGGTCTTGCTCATAAGTATTATCAGGACAGTCTTCCCAAGTAGGTGGTGCCGGAACAGGCTGAAGTGTTGGTGATTCCAGGGGAGAGTTAGGCATGGACCTGTAGGCATGTCGTTTTGCACTTGCAAGCGGGACCTTGACCCAAGTTTTCCTACCTTTTCTGCCCCTTGCTTCTACCCTGTGTGACTTTTGCAGCGGGGTGCATAGACCTATCTTCATCTTATTTTCGAATGTTGCAAGAACAGCATTAGCTCAGGAAGGTCGCAAGAATTATTATTCCAATGCTATATTTGTGCAGTATTGGTTGTTCATTACAAATTTATTTCCATTAATGGCATCATGTCCGATATGGGTTGATTAACCAACTGTTAGGCTTTGGTCAAAGTTGAACTTTGAACCAATATTAGTTATGCCTTGCTCACCCTCAGCACATTCACCAATCAGAGTCACTATAGCAAGATCAGGTCATTCCACTCGCTTGTCTCCTGGAAGACATAGGGCACGTCAACCCCAGACACAGAAGCTCATGGAAACCGAAATTTTCGAGTTGAAGAACTACCTTCCTGAGTGGACTTCTGTGAAAAGGAGCAAGAAGTGGGCAGTTTTCACTGCAATTGCCAGGGCTGCAAGGTTGTTTGCGCCAAAGGTGGACCAAGGACAATTGAAAAAGAGAAAGCAGGTGATACATCCTTGTTGCGATGAGAAACAAAAATTTTAATGTCTTACACTTCCTTCAATGCTCAGATGTACAAGACTTGGTTGTTCAACAACAAGAAAAAGAAGGAAAGGAAGGACATGATAAAGTATGGGAGGAAATGGACGCCTAGGATGGTGATCTACTAGAAGAATCGGGAAGAGGTGCTGAAGAGGATCGAGGATGAATCCAGGGCAAAGCCAGGAGATCCTGGTATGTTCAAGCATTATCAGGCGGCTATGAAGAGAGTCATGGCTGAATTGTCCGACGACGAGTTGGAGAAGGCGAAAGAAACCGCCGAAGAATGGTCCAACAACTGTCCTCCTCCCAAGATACAAGCACAGGTTGCCTGTAAGAAGGGACCTGCATATATGGAGCACTTTTCGAAGGAGATGTGGAGGCAATGCGGGATGAGAGTGTTTGTGTTGTCAGCTTGGAAGAATGAACAGGGCGAGGTGCTGTTTGGGATGTGAGTGAATTTTACCTGTCATCGCAGATCTTTCAACCCGATATATTTCACGCAGGCGCAATAATAATGAGGCATTAGGAGATGGGGACAGCTTCATGAAGACAAAGGACTGGGAGGACATCAAGCCGGTGTGGCAGGAGTATGCGCAGGAACAGTTCGGTGAGTGTTTAAACTGTTGATACCCGGAGGGGTGTGTTGATGGTCTCTGTGATAGGTGCCGGAGCATGGGAAGGTGGCCGACAGATGAAGGAAGGTCACAAGAGAATCCGAAAACCAGCCTTCGAGCTCGACACTGATGAGGATGGGATGCCGTTGCTTCCGGACATCACCAAAACAAAACTTGAGGAGAAGAAGGCCATAGTCAGGGCTTTTCTCACATCCCACTATCATGAGTCAATCCTTGCTACATCTGGGACATTGTTGAATGCATCGACATAGGGATTTGTTCGGGGATCGACAAGGCAGTAGTGCCATGGAGTGCCATCCTTCAATGCCAGGATGACTTTGTGTCACAAAGATATCTTCCGGCAGATGTCGACTTGAAGGAGCCTTCCAAGTTGCAAAATTGGGACACTACGGCCCTCCTCAATTTCTGGTATGCTCGGCAGGAGAAAGGCAAAGGATCAACATTCACGTTCAAAGCATGGAAGAACAAAGATGGCAACATGGTAGCATCGGTCGTATCAGGCGGGTCGCCTTCCCATCGGCCAGGTAAAGTCAAAAACATGCCAAGGGTAATCATCCGAAGCCCTAGGGATTCATCCTCCGAACCCTACAGTGATTTCAGGAATGACACTCATCATTCGGATGATGATGATGATGATGATGATAATGACTCGGCTGATGGTAGATCACCGAAAAAGAGAACCAGAACCAGAGAAGGTCCTTCATCATCACATGCAGAGACAGCAATCCCACTGTCAATTCCGAAGCCTCGCCCTGTCAAGCCGGCGAAATGTGGTGCACTGCTGACATCGCGAATGGGTGACCTCCTGGCAGGGTTAACCAATGGCAACATGGGTGAGGTTGACGATGATGTTGCAATGGAAGGGAGGAAAACATCGCCGGCTCCGAAAAGGATGCGGGGAAAGAAAGCGGTGATTGAGCCATTGGCGAGGACCACCCGGAGTAAGTCGACGCCAAAGCCATTAGGCAGTACTCCTCGGGTGACAAGAGCAAGGGGAAGGAAGTGATGTACTTATCCCGCACTGTCTTCCCTTATGTACATATCCATGTCATGCAATGGGAAGTAGGTTATTGGTGTGCTGGACTCGAAACATGGACCCGGTGATCGATACTCGGGCCTCGGTAGTCCTCAGATAGTGAATAAATCGGAAATGGAAGTTCCATACATCCATAATTAAGTAGTTTACATGACGTGAGTGGGTTCATAAACATTCAAAATTTCACAGGTAATTTGTCTACTAACAGAAATTGTGTAATTTACATTTAAATTTGATCTTCAAACCTAAGAATGAGGGAATCTAATACCTTGAGCATTTCAGAAGTCAAACATTCAGCTTGTTGCAGCCTCCAGAGGTCTTCTTCAGCTCTTCTGAGTTTGTCAGATGTTTCTGCCCAGGCAGTTCAGAATGGTCTCTCAGCCTCGAGTAGTTGTTGGATGGATGGGTCGGGAATATGTCCATGTCGCTGTTTGTAATCCTGGACCCGTTCTTGAATGAATTGAACTAAGAGACAAATTAGCAGAAGGATAAATGATTATATCAGATACTTAGTGAACAGGGATGGTGAGATATTTTGATTGACAGACCGGGGAATTCTGGCATAAAATCTTCATCAGGCCTGAGGTACAGGTCAGGGTGGATGGGTACATCTGGGTGATAAGGTTGGGCCAGAGGTGATGGATCTGTCAGGCTTTAGTACCCAGGGATGGCTGGACTGTTGATTTCAATCGATGGACATACCCGGGATCTCAGTCATAATATCTTCATCAGGCCCAAGGTAGAGATCCGGGTGGATGGCTAGACCCGGCATATCAGGTTGGGCCGGAAGTGACTGATCTGCAGGAATTTTGTGTCAACATGCATTGTTAGATGATTTAAATAATACTCACCATGCATCCCAGCCATCAGGTCATCCTCAAGCCCGAGGTATAGGTCTGGGTAAACCAGGAGGCCTGGTTGATCACATTGAGCCGGAGGTGAATGATCTGTGATATTTGAGTTACCATGGATGATGAGATTGTCATCATATCAATTGATAAACCCACTGGAAATTTGAGAAAAGACCTCTGGACCATTGGATGACACAGAACATGATTCTGGGTCATCAGCCGGCCCAAGATTTAATTGATCTGAGGATGTCCGGTAAATTGATAAGGTATGATGGATGTTGAACATACCTGTTGACATCCGGGACACGGTTGATTCATCCACATCCATTGAGTTATATTCAGTGACTGGAGGGTCATTGAATCTAACTGTAGCAGGGGAGTTCATGTTCTGTGATGAACTGATCAACTGATTCACTGATTATTGATAACTTCGAAGTTGAACACAAGGCGCCAGCGATTGCCGAAAGTTGAACCACGACCAAACAAGGACAAACAATCAATGAAATTTTACATTGTTAATCACTGATCTTGTTTTTACTGAAACATCATCCTTGTGATAACTGATTTCAACCTGAATATAACTTGATTTCTACCTGATCTCAACACTTTCAACACTTTCAATTGAAATACCATGTCTGCTCCAGTTGACACCTCTTTGACCAGCCTCAAGGAAATCACTGCCAAGATCATGGCCATCATCACCGGCGCTCGGCAGCTTCCTCTGGGCCACAGCCACTTTTCTCTGACAACCCAGGTCAGTACACTCGTGGTATGTAGCATTGTCATATTTTCTCCACTTCATTTTTTTCATCATCCGAGTAGGCCGATGCGGTCCGGCAATATGGGAGTGGTCCCTACCTTCCGGGTCTCGTGTGTTCGTGCTCGAGGGAGTTGATTCGTGTTCGGGGCATGACTCCTCAGGTCTGGCCCAACTGGCACAGCATCGGGTACGATGATACCTGTTTGTTGATGCACCCCTGGCGCAGCAAGGTCCTTGCCTGGGAGGAGTTAGGTGATTACACCTTCAATCTCCTGGTTGTATCCGGTCCTTCAGTAGGTCCAATTCCTGTGGATCTTCCACCCTCGCCTGTCATCGCTGGGCCTTCTACCAACCCTGCCTCTGAGTCCTGGGAGAAGGGAAAAGGTAAGGCAGTTTTCCTGCACCTGGACCCAGAAGTGGAAGGGAGTCGGAAGAGGAAGTCTCCAATGATTCTGGAACTTCCCTCCCAACCCCGAAGTGCGCTATAAAGACTCGGAAGCACGCGAAAACCACCGGCCTTGCCAAATTCAAGGCGTTTGTTGAGTTGGAAGATGAAGAGGACTCGGTCACTCAGGTATGTCCTCTGGTTCATCGTTCCATTGTCTTACTCATTTTGTAGCCGATTTCATGTGGGGTTCCGGAGGTCGTCCTCCCCCAGCTCTCCCCAGATGTTGCAAGGACGTCTGGATCACCTCGGTCACCCCGGAGCCTGAAGAAGAAACCCTTCGGGCCTGCTACGGTAAGTCGCACTTTTGCATCCGGCACTCGGATGGGTCCTTACAATGTGCCAGGCAATTGCCGGCAAACATCCGGAGGTCATCGAGCCAAGAGGACCAGCACCCCGTGCATGTCCTGCGTCTACTGCACCACCAAGAAGATTAAGTGCATCTCTGTGAGTATGGGAACCCCGCCGAAACGTGTTTGAGGTCAATCCATCACCCGGACCATCAGGAGGACCAGATCCAGGACCCCTTCCAAAGCTCCTGCCAAAGCTCCGGCCGCCTCGCAAACCACTGGCCGGACGCGGAGTCAATCTCGGGTCTCTTCCGTCACTCCTGGTCCATCTGGTGCCCAAACACCAAAGGTGCAAACATGTGGTCGCAGCAAGACTGTCACTGCTGCCAAGGAACCTACACCTGCACCAGCTCATAAGTCACCCGAATTTTCTATGTCCATCTGACATAATGTTCCACCTGTAGCAGTCCCATCTTCAACTTCCGGAGTTCCTCATTCAGCACTCAATGTGCCAATGCCGGATTTGCATGCCATGGCAATGGTGATTCGGGAGGGTGCAGCTCGAATTGCCGCTCTCGAGGAGCGTGTTGTTGAGCAGGATGCTAATATTGACACCCTGCAACACCTTCATGAAGGCCTTCGACACAAAATCATCCTCCGGCACCCAACATTTCCACTTCCGGATGCCCAAGGTGATGCAACATCATTTTTGCTTCATCAACCTGTCCCTCCGGTCATGTCAACCCCTGCATCCGCACTTCCTCCTCTCATTGACCTGTCTATGGAAGGGATGGAGCCCAACCCCCCCCCAACCTCCAGGATGAGTCTGCCATTGACGGACTCATATTTGAGCTCAACCACTCATTTCAAGTTGCAGGTTTCAGGCCTCGGCACTCGGTGAATCAATAACTCAATGATGAATTCCAGGGTTGTAGGATCGGCACATGGTGAATTTTGTAAGAAATTCCATATTGTGTATCGCTTCCAGCCTCGGGTTTCAGGCTTCGGGCCTCGGCACTCGGCACTAGGTGATTCAATCAGTCAGTGGTAACACTTTTGGTTTTGTGGTTCGGCTCACGGCACGCAGTGATATGTCTCAGGACATCGATATTTCACACATTCCTGCGAGTATCTAGTGTCCAGTCTGGAGCTTCCGGTCATCAGGCGTCCGGAATTCGAGACAGTGATTTCTCGTTGAAAAATGGATGTTGTACCATGGGATTCAATTTTCGGGCATTGGGACTCGGTGATCCATGCATGTCAGACAAGTGCTTTATATATCTATATAGTAAACCAATACCTTGGCCTATACGTCTACACAATATCTCCCTACCTCGGCCCACCCATCTATATTACATTCCCCTCCATCGGCCCACCAGTCTATATCATAAATATTTTCCTGCACTCTCGGCCCACCCGTTAATATAATAAATGTTTTACTGCTTGCTCGGCCCACCCATCTATACAATTCACAATGACCTTGGCCCACCCATCTATATAATAAATATTCCACCGCTTTCTCGGCCCACCCGTCTACAAAATTATTCCTGTACGTCGGCCCACCTGGCTATACAATGTACCTTTACATCGGCCCACCCATCTACAAAATGATTTCTATACATCGTCCCACCCGTCTATACAATGTACCTTTACATCGGCCCACACATCTATATAATAATGATTGCCTCTCATCTCCCTTCAGCCTAGCTGTCTATAATATACATGTCCATCCTACTGTACATATTCCCCGGATGGGCCCACCCATCTCCATCGGTAAAAATATTCATCCTGGCCCATCCGACATCATTGAGCATATATATAACATTGGCATAGATGGGCCCACCCGTCTCCATCGGAAATAATATTCCCCCCGGCCCATCTGTCAACATCGGGGATATACATCACATCGGCCCATAGTCCGCTGGCCCGTCTTATATGGGATATTATTTAAGCCAATCACTGTTACCAGAATCCCCCTCCACATCCATTGACCAGAACCAGGCCAATGTGTTATTTCTCTGTCCTCTTGCATTTGGATCAGCTACCGCTGTGCTAACCTTCAGATGCTCCTTTAGCAGTGGGCGATATCTCTCCAATAATTCATCGGCAGCACCGAGGTTAGCCAGATGTGTCTGGCACTTTGAGTAAATGCTTGCATTGATACTCACCACCCTGTCAACCGAATGCACTTGAGCCCAAGCTCTGGTAGACATGGCTTGGGATTTCGCCATTCTGACGGTGGTACGGAAGATAACCGCTTTGTCTGCCAGATGCACTCTGATATTGTGCAGGGCATCATTTGCCTGTCCCTCCCAAAGTGCCAGTTCTTGATGAATCATATCTGCGGCACCAAGTTCGGAGCACCGTGCTGGGCCAAGGATCAATGGTATGGGTAGGACAGTCTTTTCGGGCTCGAATAATCTGAATTCATCCACCATCTCATCAAGTTCTTCTTCCTCAAGCATGAACAGCTCGTCCTCCATCACCTGGATATTGCCATCCCCTATCCTATTGCCAAGGAACCTGAGACAATGGAAATGAAAAAGGGACTCACCTATGGCTTTATAAATGAGTGGTCAATACACCGTGCAATGACTAAACTGCATCAGTACCTGCACATGACAACTTGGGTGAAGCATACGGTGCAACCAATTTGCTGAAACTGGCAAGCATGTTGCTAGTCATGAGTTCTGTAGAAACAGGAAGACCTGGTGAAGCCATACAGTGCTGTAATGATGGTCATGGTGCTGGGCTCAGAACCAGCTATTTTGATACTGATGTCAAACAGTATTTGTCTGATGCACTTCCGACTACCCCGACCCGAGTCTGACACTCCAATCCCGACCCAACGCACTTTCCGACAGTCTGATGCATGTCCGATCCCGACCCGACGCCCGACCTGACATTCCTGCGCATTGGACCAGTCCTCCCTATGTCCTGTCCAGTTGCATCTATCCCCACTAGGTGCACATTTACTCCTTTTGACTTGCTAAGCATTGTATACAGTGTTATTACATGTTTTCTCATGGTCCGCTGTAGAGCCTCGCATCTCCACAGGCACTTCCCTCCAAATTCTCCCACTTTCCCTACAAACTCCAGCTCTAATCCACAGGATACATCTAGTGCATTAGCGCACTTATATTTTATTTTGCAGGTTTTGCGCGTGGCCTCGTGGGTTCATGCACTTTGCACATCTGCACTCGCATTGTCCGTGCACTCGTCCATCTGTCCGTCCATCCCATGTCCTTAGAAGTTCATTGGTGCATTTTCCCATCATATTTCCTTTTCGTCTAATTGGTTTCCATCGCTAATACTTGTTACGACTTGGATGGTATCTGTTGGCGACGCTCAAACAGAGCTTGTGTTGTCAACGGTCGAGGACGTCCTTGGGCTAGCCCAAGGTTAGGGGTCGTACTTGGCGTGTCTTTGGCAAGTACGATTTGACGCCTATGTCCAAATCGGGTAGCTTATGTCACACGGGTGCGAGACAATAAGCTATATCGGCCTAGGCTTATGACACCCAAAGGTTAATCGTAAGGATCGTCGTTAATTAGAAGGACAGAAGTCCGACTAGTTAACAGGGGCTTTGCTCGTCGACGAAGTCGATGAGTAAAGGTCGAGACTATAGGCTTATCCGCGAGGAGCAGATAAGAAGATAGAATATAGACTGCTGGCGAGGCAGAAGGATCACTCTGGTGAGAGTAGGAGGTCAAGAACCAAGTAGATTCAAGTTAGGGAATATGGTACATGGTAGCGAGTTTATATAGAGGACAGGAGACGTATTAGTGGGTGATAACTCGTACTACCGGGAGAGGCAATCAGTAAAGGGTATAACCATAACAGGAAGGCACGTTCAGTCGAGGTAGAACGTGCTAGATAAGAAAGTGAGTCAACGATCGAAAATGAGAAGTGAAACGCGCAGGGGCACGATCGTGCAGCTGCGGATCTAAGTATAAGTCGCATGTGCGACTGCGCACTGAGTCAGAGATCAAGAAAGGGAACAGGGCAAAGGGGATGCGTCGTGCATCATATCATAGGTCACCGTCCAGACGGTAGAGGCAAGGGGACTGTCCACAGGATCAGTCAGGTGGTGAAACGGAGCATGGGTATGCTTCGTCAGCGAAAGGGTCCGGCCAGATGTACTGGCTTTGCTGAAGCAACAGGTAGAGGGCGAAAGGGAATGCGAGGGTGACGAGGATGACAAGGGTAAGGTCGGGGTAAGGGTATGACGCGAGGGCTGATACGAGGAGGATTAGGAGAAAAATAGTAGGGGCCCAAGCGTCTAGATGTTCTTGTAACAATACTCGGCTCTGTGCTTCACGTGTAACCGAGACCCTGTTACATACATTGTGTACTATTTTTAGCATGTTTGGCTCGTTACATTGGACCTGCGTGCCTAGTGGCGCTTAGCTACTTTACTTATACCCCTCTATTACTTATGTACTGGATCGATTTTCCGCCTACTTTCTTTGTGTCTCTAGATACTAGGAATTTTACTCGTTGTTTGCAAGTGACAATCTAAAGTTGCATCTTGTCTTTCCTTCATCTATCTCGCTTGTTCCTACTTTGCCCTCACTCGCGCATGCTACCTTCGCATCGTGCACCTCGCCCTTCGCCTTTTGCACTCATGTGTCATTGCGCGCGTCTGCCTTTCATTTGTCGCATTGTTCTCGCCTCACGCTTCGTGCATCCTCAGTCTCAGTACCTTATTAGTTGTTTGGTGTCCCTCTTTTTACAAGAGAGGTTTCCCTTTACTCAGTTAGCTGCCCTTGGGACGACGATTTCACTTGCACCCGGGACTATCTGTGTTTGCTTAGCTTAGCACCAGCTTTGACCACAGTTTATATTTCTCATCTTCACCGCAGTACCACATGTCCTATTACATAGGATTTCAGACCCGAAATATTGCTACTACTCTCACCTATAGCACTCTGAATTTCTACATAGTCACTATATAATATCTAGTACTTCCTACCTATTGCATTACTTACTTTTCCCTACTCAGTAGTAGGATGGAAGTCATTGGATATTAGTAGTACTTGATTGTATTGTGCAATATCTATCCACTCTTTTTCTACGAAACATTCCGACACATCCAACACTCATTTGACCGACAATCCAACACACTTCCGACAAATTCCCTTACTGTCCGATGCATTCCCTGACAGTCTGACACATAGTCCGACACCCGACCCGACTCCAATATTTTTGGACCCGACAGTTTCCCTTCGGACGAGTAGTTCCTAGCTTTGGATTATCTAGCTATTATTGATAACTAACTATCTAAACTAATACTAATTAGCAATCCCTTTAGGATCAAATGCACTCGCTCTGCAAGTATAGCAGCATAGGTCATGCTAAGATCTACCTAAATATTTGTTGTCTAGGTAGTATGGTTTCTGCTGAGCCCAGCAGGAATCAGCTTTCTACAGTGCATTAGATTTAGAAACTTGGATGAAGCAAAAGCCTTACAGTGCATTTGATTTTCTAAAGCTGGAAACTTAAATGAGACTGACGCCGTACAGTACTAGTGCAGGATCTGATTTACTGAAGTCAGAAAGCACGCTGCGAGACAGAAGTTATTTGGAAACAGGAGGAGGTGGAAAAGATCCGATAAAGCTACATAGTGTATTGGATTTGCTAAACTTGTAATGCCGTGGTTTGTGGCGGTCACATGCAGTTGCTATTAATAACACTTATGATCCTAGCACATTATGTTTCGGTCCTACCATCCTCCTACAACATAATATTAATGCTCTTGTTGCTGTGAGCCTGTATCTTAGTTGAATGGATCTTGGTGATAAAAGCCCTTAAGTTGATCTGTGAGACAATGTCTTTGGTTATTTTATCACAATATTTAAGCAGCTAGTAGCTAATCATTCTATTGTTATAGTCCTATGTGCAACTTGATGCTAATTCATACTGACAATGCAAATTTAGGGGTACTTAGGCATTCAAATGTTGAATACTAGGTAAGTCCAGGATGATGTTTGCCCCACCACAACAGATCACCCTCACAGGTATCTTTATACTAACATTCCACTAGCTGGAAGGTCTCTCAGACTCTCTCTCAGACGCACCATCTTAATATTGTGTTATGGTCCAACCGTCCTCACAAGTGTTTTGTTCACCAATCGAAGACTCGAACTTGTTGTTTTGGACCAAATAAATGTAAGTGCTTACCACAACACATCTCACTCACAGGTATCTTTATACTAGCATTCCACCGAGATCACTTTTGGAAACACTGTCTTACTATGTTTCAATGGTTCAACCATCCTTGCAAGTGTTTACCAATCAAAGACTCGTTATTTTTGGTCCAAACAAATTTAAGTACTCACCACAACAAATCTCACTCACTCACAGGTATCTTTATACTAGACTAGTAGCATTTCACCGAGGTGGCAGGTCTCTCTCAGAAACACTGTCTTACTATGTGTTATGGTCCGACCATCATTGCAACTACTTTGTTTGCCAATTGTAAACTTGTTGTTTTGGTCCACATAAATGTGGGTGCTTCATATAAATGCTTCATTCTTTTCCTCCTCACCATACAACATCACTTTACAGTCGCTTTTATCATTATGGTACACCCAACTATTTACAAAACTCATCAGGCTAGAGTACAAGCTGCAAGAGACAAGTGTCGCCGGTAAAGATGAGGAATCTAAACTGTGGGAAAAGTTGGTGCTAAGCTAAGCAAACACAGATAGACCCGGGCGTGAGTGAAATTGTCATCCCAAGGGCAGCTAACTGAGTAAAGGGAAATCTCTCTTTTTAAAAAGAGGGACACCAAACAACTAATAAAGTACTAAGGCTAAGTAATGCGCAAAGCGCAGGCAGAAATGATGTGATGTGCGAAAGGAAAACATGTGCAATAACGCGCGAGTGCAGAAGGCAAAGGACGGAGTGTGCGACGTGAAGGTGTTACAAGAACATCTAGACGCTTGGGCCCCTACCATTTTTCTCCTGATCCTCCTCGTATCAGCCCTCGCATCATACCCTTACCCCGACCTTACCCTTGTCATCCTCGTCACCCTCGCATTCCCTTTCGCCCTCTACCTGTCGCTTCAGCAAAGCCAGTACATTTGGCCGGATCCTTTCGCTGACGAAGCATACCCATGCTCCGTTTCACCACCTGACTGATCCTGCGGACAGTCCCATTGCCCTTACCGTCCGGACGGTAACCTATGATATGATGCACGACGCATCCCCTTTGCCCTGTTCCCTTTCTTGATCTCTGACTCGGTGCGCAGTCGCACATGCGACTTATACTTAGATCCGCAGTTGCACGATCGTGCCCCTGCGCGTTTCACTTCTCAGTTCGACCTTTGACTCACTTTCTTATCTAGCACGTTCCACTTAGACCGAACGTGCCTTCCTGTTATGGTCTTACCCTTTACCGATTGCCTCTCCCGGTAGTACGAGTTATCATCCACTAATATGTCTTCTGTCCTCTATATAAACTCGCTACCATGTACCATATTCCCTAACTTGAATCTACTTGGTTCTTGACCTCCTACTCTTAACTGAGTGATCCTTCTGCCTCGCCAGCAGTCTATATTCTATCTTCTTATCTGCTCATCGCGGATAAGCCTATAGTCTCGACCTTTACTCATCGACTTCGTCGACGAGCAAAGCCCCTGTTAACTAGTCGGACTTCTGTCCTTCTAATTAACGACGATCCTTACGATTAACCTTTGGGTGTCGTAAGCCTAGGCCGATATAGCTTATTGTCTCGCACCCGTGTGACATAAGCTACCCGATTTGGACATAGGCGTCAAATCGTACTTGCCGAAGACACGCCAAGTACGACCCCTAACCTTGGGCTAGCCCAAGGACGTCCACAGACCGTTGTCGACACAAGCTCTGTTTGAGCGTCGCCAACAGATACCATCCAAGTCGTAACAGAAGGCAGCGCGCACGAGCGAAGGTGAGTGATCTAGCGAGCAATATAAACAAGTGAAAGACGAAGTGAGATGAGTGTTAACACCCTAACTAAGGTTGGCTGATGCTAAGATAGAGACGGAGAACCAAAGCACGCGACTTTAGATAGTCACTTGCAATTAACGAGTAAAATTCTTAGTATCTAGAGACACAGAGAAAGTGGGCAGAAAATCAACCCAGAAAATAGAGTAAAGAGATAGTATATGTAAAGATAGCTAGGCGCGCAGGTTTGATGTAGTGAGCCGAGTAAGCTAAATATAGTACATGAGGTAGGTAATAGGGTCTTGGCTGTGCACATAGCACTAGGCCGAGAATTAGTGATGGAAATAATTAGTCAAAATGGGAATATAGTGAGAAAACGCACCAATGGACATCTAAGGACATGGGGAGGACAGATGGACGGGTATGCAGACAATGCTAACGTAGATACGTGGTGCGTGCAAAGTGTGAGTGGCTGCACGCGGAATCTACAAAGTCAAATATACAAAGTGCTACTGCGCAAGACATATCCTTAGGATTAGAGCTGGAGTGTGTAGGGAATGTGGGAGAATTTGAGGGAAGTGCCTGTGGAGACGCGAGGCTCTACACCAGCATTATCTGAAGTGAGTAATAAACTGATGGTATCTTTGAGTCAACTTGACCAAAAGACTCCAGGTGTCGAGAGATTATACTGGAAAAGTGGTGTCAATCACGCAGAGACAAAAAAACCTATCAAGCTGATAGTCCTTTGGACGATGAAGATGAACCAATGTACGTGCTGCTTTGATTTACATGTCTCAATGCATCTGACATTTGCAATAGCGAAACTTTACAAGACTGCATTACTGTGGTTAAGTATGCCAAAGACAACCTTATGGTGTATATCAAAGCTCCACAAAAATTCTTCAACCTCCTGATGGATGAGTACTCCAAGACAATGCTCAACCCTGAGCTACACCCTACTGGGAATGGAGACAAGTCTGTCTTCGAACGTGCTATTACAAGCTTCAAAGACTTTCTTGACAGAGCTGACCATGGGCTGGATGGTATCCTTCAAATGTGTGGTATTTGTGATGAGTGGCATGCTGCAGATGACATCTGCAAGTTCATGAGGGAAATAATAGGGATGGTGGAAGACATCTTGTTGTGTCTGGCGGAAGGCAGAGATGGTGAACTAGCAGGTGCCTTCATAGGTGGCGAGCTGTGATATCAGGAGTACAAGTTCCCCTTCTAGTGTACATGCCATATAGAACCTGCAAAATTATCTTTGTTCGTGGGCTATGATTAGCGATGATAGCATCAAGTGTACCTATACGCAAATCTTTTTGTGAAGACATGTATGGTCTTCATGGGTCAGTGTGTGACCAGCACAACATGCTTAAAACATATTTACCTGCTTTTAAGATTGCTTGCTATGGGTCAGTGGAAGAAAAATTTGAGTTTTGGAAGAATGTGTATTCCCACTGGTTTATGACTTGGCCTGAACATGCTGCACAGTTCTCAGAGGTGCCTGTTAGCCAAGCACTGTCTGTGTTACAGCAGGTATCACTTGATGAAGCCATTTAACATCATCATCGAGTACATCGTCATTTATTTTGTCTGAAGACAGGAACATATGCTGACTGCAAGAAAGCGCATTCAAATTTTCATCATTATGAACACCTTACATCAAGAGGTGTGCACGTCAAAATGGATGCTGCAGGAGTATTTTCCTGTAAAGGAATTGACATGAAGGCAAGATATTTTGTCTTGATGTTGTTTATCACAGGAATTGATTCAATTTTTTTGGGAATAGATGGTGGAGCCTTTCGGTGCATGCATAAAGTAGAAGCATGGCAGCATTGTACACATAAATCTAGTGTAAACCTAGCATAGATCTAGATAAATTCTGTTGCGGCATAAATTTGTTAAATCAGTGAAACTCTGGGAATATATTCTCAATAAGCAGCCTGAAGAATTAAAAACTTGGGGATTACCATAGTTGAGGATTATCGTAGGAGGATATCACCTGTTGTCATTGTTACCTACATACCATCAAAGTGCACCCTGAGCTTTTGTTTCATTTGAAAAAAAAAAACTGACTTTGCTATGGAGTTATTCTAGATGCCAGGCAAGAAATGGACCACTCCAGAGCAGGAGGAATATCTCCTTGGCTTCATGTCCAAATTCCACAAGAGTGCCACAACCAAAAATTTCAATGAATTTTTCACAAGCATCTAAGCTCTATGGTTTGAAAAGTGGCCCAAGGAACAAATTGTCTTTAAAGACATGCCAGCTGATCATATTCGCACCCCAGATGAAATCAAGGCTCTCACAAAGGCAGTTGAGACATGTCAGCAGATAGGTTATATATATGAAAACTAAATAGGGCATACCAATTGATTTGGGACAGCAACTTGCCACTTGGTATAGGTGGTAGGTCAATCCTGCACATCTTGCTCACCCAAAAAGTGCAAGAGGCGTGCTGAAATTCGATACCATACTGGGTGGGGGCATGGAACTTAAAGGTACATGTATCCTGCAAAAAAATTGATATTTATTCGTATAAATTCTATGAAGAAAAAGTCAAGCATGCTGCAGACGCTGCAATTGCAACAGATAACATTACCGACAGAGGCCCAAAGCTGAACAAGTATCATGAGATGACACGGCACATGTACTCAGAGGAAAGTGAATCCATCAAAGCTGATATTGAATGTGAGTATCAAAAGGCCAAAGCGAGATTTGCAAAAAAACACCAGTATGTGAAGTCTGGAAAGACACCCAAAATTGACAACAACACAAAAGTCAAGTATGTACCAGGTGGCTGGAAGTTTACCGTTCTTATGGGGGGTCGCGATCCTAGGACAGGTGAAACATCAGCGTTCAAGTGAGTAGTGTCAGTATTTGCACACTTACAGAATGTTGTGCTTATAATTAGTCAAATTACCACATAGGCGAACTTCAAAGTGGTGCTCAGTTCAATCATGCATACAAAGATTTTGATGCAATGCAAGCTGCCTTCCTGGCATTCGTGCAAAATGCTCTCAGTAGGTTTGATGTCTATAGATTCAGAGCTCAACCTTACCTTCTCCCAATTAGTGTTTAAATCTAGCATACCTCACAAATCAGCAAATGATGAAGATGAAGAGTCCTCATTAGACTCAGGTAGCGACAAAGACAATGAGTGGGAAAGGAACACTGGAAAGGGTAGGGAGGGTATGAGTCAAGATTTCCTGCCCTTTGATACATGCAACCTGTTTGGGATGACTCCCCATTCCGATGAGATTTTTGGGGATAATGTGGTGAGTAATGGCTTATCAATATAATGCATCAAAATGCATCTCATTGTGCTTGTAGAGCAGCTTATCTAATACTCTGCTGGATGCTAGATTGCCCGAAGCACTTCCCAGTGGGGTATCAACTGATGCATCAAGTGGGCCAGTCAGCATGACTGGAGCAAGCAATAATTTATCACTTGCTGAATTGTTTTGCGATTCTCACTCTGCCACTTTGGACCCCATTAAAGCGGGCACCACCAATTTCTCCACCTTTGATCCCCATGCTTTTACTGACCTTGTTAGCAATTCTACTGCCCTTGACAAGGTGTGAGGTGGAATGCCTGACTGGTTAAGGTCATCAGATCCACCTTCACAACTTCCTAAAGATCCCTCCAACTTGATATCTCCCAGCAGGCAGAGGTACTTCTTCCTGCTGTCCCATCCATGCATAGCAAGGAAGAAGAGGATGACCAAGAAGGGGATTTGCTTGTTAACCAGCCAGAGGTCAGTCCTCACCATGGAGCATGCAGACGATATGTTGAAAATTCACCAGCTCCTATATTATCTACAGGTCTACGTACATTACCAGGCCCTCCAGTGGCGCATGCGCCTTGTCTTCACATATGTAACAGTGTTCCATTCAATCCGTGAGAATGCGACAACAACATTGGTGTCCAAACACATCACACTCACCCCATGGACTTGCAGAAGTATGTCCATCTTTTCCTGTGCAGAGGTGGATAATACTAATAAACTCTCTATAGAAGGGCTCGTCACTCTTAAATATTTTGTCAGTGTAGTTCTACACTTTGGTAATTACACACTGTATCAAACATTGTATTGCATTCTGCAATATAACTTTATTGATTTGATTTTCAAAAAAAATCAATGTCATACTGTTAGAAATCAAACCGTCAATATGGTACATACATAGTTGCTTTTTTGTTTGACTTAGACACTTGTTCAGTACACCAGCAGAGTTACCATATTAGGTAACTCCACGCACCATAGGTGACCTTCGCAACACTCGACATATGCTCACTATGCTTACTACATTCATTATGGATGTAGATTAGAACTCACTTGAGTTCGTTCTATTTAGCCCAGCTCTCATTTTCAATTACATACATGAGTAGAAAAATAGTTTTGATTACAGCAGTGGAGACTTACTAAAATGAATGAATGTCAAACAATTGGAGTACATAAGCAAGGTACTACCAGGAGCAAGGTATATATAAATACAACATGCTAAATATGGATGGATGAGTGCTAATTATGGACAGAACAGCCCAAAAATATACTGGACAGATAATGCATCACTGTCAGATCCCTGATGCATTAATGATGCATCATACAATGAGCAAGCTTGATGCATCACAAAACTAGGCTACTTGGCCTATTTTAATGCATCAAAATGACATTATTGCCTGATAATCTTGCTGTCAAGACAAAATTGGCAAAAGCAGCCTGGCATGAGGCATGTCAAATCAAAGGCATCAATGTTAAATTGACGCCTTCAGTGGTCAAAATGGTGAGTCATCTGTTCTCCATATGTTCTTCATCTGATTTATATCATACTTTGTGAAGCTCTTGACCCACACATTACAAGTTTGTGTGATCTCAAAACAAAAATACAATCACTGACTGCATCATTTTTCGGTTTCTGGATGAGTAATTCCAACAATGTGATAAGACAGAATAGGGATCTAGCAGGATCTTTGAAAGATGGTTCTGTGTTTGCTTTCAAGGTATGTATTTTGATTATCTACATGGTGTTTCATGTTCTGACTCCTTAGACTAATAGGATTGGGCATTGAAGAAGAGGATCTACAAGACAGAATTACTGCAACTGAGTATCAATGTTATGTGGTTTGCAAATTGACATGATGAAGGCATCATATATCATAAATACTTTCATTCTATGCTCATCAAAGTTATTGCTCTTGTGCTTGCAACTGTGAGTCTCTTATTTTTATATTCAAGTTGATGGTGCTGATGAATCCCTAGTAAATTGAATGTTGTATTGATGAATAGTTACAAGGTCTGGAGGAGAATATTAAATTCACATCGGCTATTTGTGGAATTGTCTACTGTGGTCATTTTGGCTCATTGCAGCGCTTTGATGAGTGTATAGTGCCTTATAAACTCCTCAAAAGAATTTGTATCATGATACAGCTTGGTGTGTTGAACAGTGTCCTTTTTGAAAATGATGTTCTAACATTCATGCTTTGAAGTTTCCTGCAGGTGTCGACACCCTTCTTACTATCTTGTCATCTACATCCTAGATCAGTGACAAGACATTCAAAGATGCCATCTGAGAGTATCGGCTTGAGGAGCAGGATGATGCGGAGGCTAGCAAGTCGTAAAATATGTTGATTTGTTAATTAGTAGTCATTCAAATTCAATTGTTTTCATGATTCTGCATGCTACTATGTGATATATATATTACTATTGTCATATCCCACGTTCCAGACCCAGACGTATCACACACATCATTTCCAGATATCCAGGTCCGACTGACTTCTATCTATGTCCGGGTCCAACCTGCGTCTAACTTCCGTGCCTAATCCCTTTGTACGTTCCTATTCCAGTTAGACTATATTATTTTCCGTACCTCATTTCACTTCCGCCTTTATTTTCCTCTGTTCTCATCTCCGGGTTCATTTACTATTTTCGATAAACTAGTGTTTGACTTTTCTATAACCTCCGTCCACAGCCTCGCATAGCTTCGGACTGCGCTGGCTTGTCCTCCATTAAGTCCTTCATAGTATATAAACCCTGTAGAATCTATGTACATCTTTAGTTCAAATATTATCTTAGACTCTGCTCATTCTCCCCTCCGTTTGACTTGAGTTATTCTCTCGTCGACCTCCGCTAGTCTTAGGGTTGATCCCAATAGACTTATCACCTCTGCCTCTACCTTTGGTAGTCCTCCGCTGTTTCCTTTCTAGTTCGGACATCATCCGGACTAGTCTTATCACCTGTTCCCGAACGTCCGCTGGAATTCCTGTGCATCGGACAATCGGAATCTGGACAACGTCCAATACTTCCGGACATCGCCCAACGCCCTTCGGACATCATCCATTAGCCTTCGGAAGTTAGGGGCACATACTCGGGTAAGGGGTGCTGTCTTCTTAGATAGATGATCTATAGATGAACACCTACAAAATCAAATATCTCCACGGTCAGTGATTCAGACAAATACCAATGACTGATAACATGGTTGTTCGTGGGTGGCCTGTCAGTATATCCAAGCTACGGTCAGACAAAGGTACTCTACAATATCAGTATAGAAACACTAGTCAACCCAGCAGTATGGTGTTGACTAAAAGAAACAAAGAAACAGAAAAAAAAGAACCAAGACTAAGCACAATCAATGGTGCTATATTCTAAACTTACTATGACACAGTCGTGCGAAGATGTATTGGTCACTCCCACAGCGCAAACAGGTAGGATCAAAGGTCAAGACTTGTCAAAAGCTTCCATAGAACTCTTAGCCTAATATTGAATCTGCTGCCAAGGAACTCACGATGAGTATTAAACAGAATCAGAAACGGACGTCCTTGGATTTCAATACCAAGTCCCCTATTCAATAGCTAAAGCCTATCTGACAAATAACAATCCTAGCTCAGTATACTACTCCGATGTGTGAGGTCAAGCGGACAATAATCAACTTCTGAAGTCTCCCCACTAAGCTACTCTGAGCCTTTAGTGGACGTAGAAACAACACGAAGAATCCAAAGATAAGGCTCGAGTGTATTTGCTACAATCAAAAGTACGTTAGTATCAGCAGCAAGAAACAAACACTCAGTATATATTCACTAAAATCTATAGCACATTAGTGACACAACAATAAACGAGCACTCAGACTATTAGCTTTCAATGGGTAGAGAGAGTGAAACAGATAGAGTGAAACAGATCCCAAGCTGAAGAAATAGATAGAGTGAAACAGAACCCAGACTAGTGAAACAGAGATAAGGAAATAGATCCCAAACTAAAAGAAATAGATCCCAGACAAAAAGAAATAGATCCCAATCAAAATGAAATAGATCCCAATCCTAGAGAAACAGAGATAAAAGAAATAGATCCCAAACTTAAAAGAAATAGATCCCAATCCTAGAGAAACAGAGATAGAGAGATAGAAACGGAGACACGTGCACACAAACACAAACACTCAGAAAAACAAGAGACTTCTCAAAACAAATAACTAGGCCTTGCAGGTTGTTGAGCACAGTGAGCTCAATGGCTCCTACTGTCTCATCAATGTACCTGACAATGTCAAACAACTCTTTGTGGTTGTTGCTGATGCTGATCACACACAAACCTCACTCGCAATTTTATTAAGGGTGACTCTGGGAGTCAGATTGATTGCATTTCAGGCCAAAACGGAGGTCCTTATATAGACAAATCTACATGGCTGTGCTAATTTACTCCCACATACCTAGGTATATTCAATTTTCGTTTTCTCACATATCTAGATATACTACATTATTTGTCATAGATCATAATACCCATGTGAATCGTACGTAGGTAAACATGATTTGTCAGGCTTAGTCATAGATCAGCTGACTGTGGTAAGAGAACATGGTTTACATAATATGTTGAAACTTGTTTGTATTTGGTGTTATTTAGAGACGTAGCATATGTCATAAAGCAAAACCAGGTAACACGTGTATTTAAAGTTTCCTGGAAGTTCCCGCAAACAAACATATGTGGAAAGTATTTTTCATGGAAGCTTCAGATGCATGAGAATCTAGCTGAGTCATCTTCGAGCCAAATAACACAAAATTCATTCCATGCAAAATTCCCGAAAAATATTCACTAACACCGCACGGTCATGCACCAGACCAGTTTGGTGCAGGTCATCGTGTTCTGCTTTGCCTATCCTATCCTTGTCTAAGAGTGTCTGCATAATTTTGCAGAAATCACAATAATACAAGCTTAACTCATCAACTGAAGGCATCGGTATGGTGGTGTATTTTCATGCAACTGCACTTAAGTCTGTGACTGTGTAGCAACAATCACCCTTACAGCTGGGATACATTACCTTTAATTTGGCAATAAACTTGTCATAATCACTGACTTTTGCTTTGGGCAAACCTGCCCATAATTCTCTGTTATTGAGATAGTGAATTAACTGCTTGATGCAATCTAGACTGGTGGAACCAGCTTGGTCTGTGAGCTGTTTGTATGCATCTATAAATTCAAGAAGGTTAGCTGCAGTGCTGTTGAATTTCAGTGTGTGGTCAGTGCCACGTACGGGCATGCAATAAGGAATGTTAGACATGGTTACTTGCGGTATGTTTGGGGTGAGATTGGGTGCCTGTGCGATGTGGGTGGGCTATTGCATGTATAGGCTTGAAAAGGTACTGATGATATGTCCACCTGGGATTGAAACAGGTACATGAGGTATCTATATGAGTTCTTGTTTGATGGGCAAATCTGATTTCATGGGTTCACATGGGAGAGTGAGAGTATCTATAGGTGTTAGTGTGATGGGTTTCACTTTCTGCACTGCTTTGGACGTGCTATGAAATGCTCTGGGAAGGTTATCCTCTAGGTGCATCCAATGATGCAAAGTTGTTGATTGATTCTTTGGGTGAAGACATAATAGGTGATGACTGTCACTCGTTATTGCTGACAAGAAATGAATATTCTGAATGTGGTGCATCAACAATGGGTTCTTGTTCTGGATCTATTGCATCTTTGGATTTCACAATAAATTGTGTGCAGACTAAATGATGTGCTGTTAATCTGAGTACCCTACCAGTAATCTCAGAAGTACCCCTTGTGGTGGGCTCCAGAGGAATCTAAACTGCGAGGAAAGATGATTTTAGACCAAGGAAACACAGAGAGTCCTGGGTGCAAGTGAAAATATTGACCCAAGGGCAGCTGTCTGAGTCAAGAGAAACCTCTTTTAATAAAAAGAGGGATACCAAATCACTAATAGGATAAATGGGACTACTATAGCACAAAGCATGAGGTGATGCAAGATGCAATGGATGATATGCGGACACACACAATGGGCAATGAGTGAGATATATGACATAAAGGTAGCACATGCGAGTGAAGGCAAAATGTGAACAAGCAAGAGAGACTAAAGAGAGATGAGACAAGACAACTAGTATCACCCCAACTAAGGTTGGCTGATGATATAAACAAGAGTGTGAGACTTAGATAGAGATAGCAACAACAAGTAAAATTCCCTTAGTAGCTAAGTACAGAGGAAAAGTGGGCAGAAAATTGACCCGGAATATAGAGTATAGGAGGGGTATAAGTAAAATAACTAAGCACCACTAGGTGCAGAGGTCCAATGTAGTGATCTGAACAAGCTAAAAATAGTATGTGAGATATGTAATAGGCACCCAGCTGTGCACAAAGCCAAGCACTAGTGAGGAAAAACAATTAATTGAAATTGGAATAATATGGAAAAAACACACCAATGGACTTCTAAGGACATGGGAAGGATGGATGGACGAGTGAGCAGACAATGCTAAGACTGATGCATGATGTGTACAAATGCGAGAGGCTGCACACAAAACCTGTGAAAGAAAATATATGTGTACCAATGCACAAGACTTATGCTATGGATTAGAGCTGGAGTGTGTAGGGAAAGTGAGAGAAGTCAGAGGGAAGTGTCTGTGGGGACACAAGTCTCTATACTGGAACATAAAGTATAGAGGAGGTATAAGCAAAATAACTAAGCACTGCTAGGTGCACAGGTCCGATATAATGATATGAACAAGCTAAAAATAGTATACAAAGTAGGTAATAGGCATCTGGCTGTGCACAAAGTGCAAAGCCAAGCATTAGCAAGAGAAAACAATTAGACAAAATAGGAATATAATGAGAAAACACACCAATGAATCTCAGAGGATATGG